TAATAGCACATTATTTGTGTTAAAAGCATCAGTTGTAGTCAAATTTTGAACAGAATGTTTAATTGGGTGATATTAACACCATTACTATCAGCTGTAATATGGTGTTTTCTCATGTGAAAAAGGGAAAAGGAGAAGACTTGAAACTTCTAAATCGGTTGAAACTAGGGGTTTGCCAACCAGAGGGGAGGACATTAGAAAAGGAAAAAGAAGAAAAACTAGAACAGGGGTCAAAGGTGCTCATGACAGTAGGGAAAGAAGGAAGGGCACATCCGTCAAAAGCTAAGTTTTGGGCAGGGTAGCAAGGAAGGAAGCAACCTTCATTTGGAAGAGCCAAAAAGGAGGCAACAGTAGCTCAATGTGGAGGGCAGAACAAATGGGAGGCAATGGAAAGGTTATCAGAAAGGAGCAACCATTCGGTTGGAGGGAAGGGCGGTTAGGGTGCCACCAACTACGGAAAGGAAAAGCAGAGAAGGATAGAAGCAGCAACTACAAGGTCTCAGGTAAAGAAAGGAAGAAGCTCCTTTTACTTAAACATTATACAAACTCTGACAACTTTCTTTTCTACTTTTGAAATGGAAAAATCCATTTCTAAAAAAGATAGAGTGAATGAGGAAAATAGGGAATTAGGAACCGCTAAGGAAAGGGGGTTGGATAAATAGACAACAAGGTCTCAGGTAAAGAAAGGAAAAAGCTCCTTTTACTTGAACATTATACAAACTCTGACAACTTTCTTTTCTACTTTGAAATGGAAAAATCTATTTCTAAAAAAGATAAAGTGAACGAGAAAAATAGGGAATTAGGAACTGCTAAGGGAAGGGGGGTGGATAAATAGTTGGGAGTGAAATAGCTTTTTGAGGATAAGAGGGACTTAAACCCTCATGATTTTAAAGTTTTATAATATAATTGCATGTCTCTCTCAAATTTTAGGTTTCTTATGGGTTGATATACCCCTCTTGCGTTTCATCTGATAGACTCCCAACAGATATTCCTAAAAAGAATAATGCTCAAATTGCACAAACCTAGCTAAACAGTTCTTCCTTTTAAATCTAATTTCAAATAAACCCCAAAAAGCATATTTCTAAAACCTACTTGACGTTCTCATTATAGACTGCTACCAAAGTTTCCACTACATCCCGTTTTATTTTCCCACTAGGAGAGGGAGGGAATGGATAAAATCTCGTCAAGTGCTTAAAACATCAAATGGCATTCATTTTCCTTCCCAAAGTTAACTCAACTCTTACCTGATATCACTTGTTTCAATTAACCCTTAAGCATTGTCTTCAACATTTAGTACTCGAAGATATCACACAAACACAACCTACATACCATCCTACACCTTGTACGACTTCCATACGTCACCTTCTTCCATAATCAACCAAACACCGCAAAAAAAAAACATTTTCCTCCAAACCCACTGCACTTTAAATCAAGTGGGGACACTACATCTTCAGATTACATGTCTACAAGTCTTTACTGAGAAGGAACCAAAGAACCACCAATTCAAGACAAATGTGATAACTCCCCAACAATTGTGATTGAATAGAAGTTTTAAATTCCTCCTAAATCGGAATACCAGCTATCCAGCTCAAATTACTATCTATAGGAAACAATGAGGACTTAGAGAACTCCGAATGTGCCTTGAAAGCAAATTACTTATCAGTATCGGAGGAAATAGGTCCACATAAAACATAGTACAAAAGCAATGATAACGACGGCATACACAGTTGAATGATAAATAAACTGTTATGATAAAACCCCTAAAATTGAATCCCAATACCTTCATTTGGGGGAATATTAGTAGCTCAGTTCGTGCCAATTATTATTATAAAAAAAATTACCTTCATTTCTGGTAGCCGCCACCAATAGCATTCTCATCCTCTTCAACCTTAGCAGTCAAATAAGGCTTAGGAAAATCGTTGACATCAAACTTGTACTCCATCCTCATCTTCTCGACATCTGCTTTGGTGAGGAAGGTGCGCTTGATTGGAGGACGGTTACGCCTCTGGTCACGAGAATAATACTTGATATCAAAGACGGTTTCAGGATCGGATGTGGGGATGATGGCCTGAGATTGGGTAGTGGCGGGACAGAAGATTCTGTACTCTGTTGCCTTGGGTACAGAGGCTAAATACTCGGGGCTTGTTTGAGGTCCGGTGAACTCCCATGGCTTCTTCATGAACCGTTTTAGGGTTTGGATTATCGATTTCCCTGACGAAGCCATTGAAGAAATTTGCTCAATGAGATCTCTTTGATTTTGCGGTTTAATGCTGTCCTGAAATTGGGTAGGGATAATTGGACCTAAATCGCCTTGCTTATTTTTGTTTCTCAAATGTTTTATTTAAATTTTAAACATTTTTCTTATGAGTAATACACATAAATTGAAAAAGAAAAAAAAAAAAAAAAGGTGCTAGAAAATTCTAATTTGAAAATTTATCAACTACTTCCTCAGTTCATTTTTAGTTTTCAATACACATAAATTGAAAAAGAAAAAAAAAAGGTGCTAGAAAATTCTAATTTGAAAATTTATCAACTACTCCCTCGGTTCATTTTTAGTTTTCATGATAAGGTTCGCAATCTTAATAAAAAAAATTATTTGGCCAATAAATCCCTTATTAATTCTTGTCGTTATTTATATTAGTGCCTCTTAACTCTAGAATAATTTATATTAGGACAAAGTTGGAAAAAGATAATTATTTTTCTCTTAATTATATAAAATTGGCAGCTATTTTAGAACAAGTATTTTTAAAATGTATGAAAACTAAAGAGAAACAGAAGGAATAGCAAATTTCTAAAAGAAAAAGTTCGGATGTTCGAACAATTTAACACGCAGGAATAAGAGTCTGTTTGGATTGGCTTAAAAATAGCTTTTAAGTCAAAAATAAAAAATCAAATTGAAATAATTTTTAAGTTAAAAAAGAAAAAATAGGGGGAGACCTACTTTTGATTTTTAACTTATTTTTAACATTGTCAAACACTTTCTAACTTATTTTAAGTTATTTTTTGAGTTATTTTAAGTTATTTTTATATTTGTCAAACACTTCCAAAAATCAAAAATTAATTTAAAAGTAGATTTGACTAATTTTTAAGCAAATTCAAACACCCTCTAAATATTCATGTAGCATTGGATTGTATGTCTACTTAAATTGACTTATTTAAGTTTGTTTAATTGAAAATAAAGTTTAAGCATTTTTGTAGTATTTTAAATAAATTTAAAAATGGTTTTAAGTTGTAAAAAAAAAGAGAAAGTGAAAAATTATAAGTTAAACTTCATAATTTAAAAGCGATAATATTAGAAAGGAAAAATTGTGTATTTTAGCAAATCATTAATTCAAAATAAATATTATGGCTACAGTTTCATTTAATTTCGATTCGCAGCAAACACATTGTCATTCGTCTCTCCCCCCTAAATCTCGCTCACCACTCTCAGTTCTCTCTCTTACTTTATACAAACACAAATGTATAAATTGTTTTTGTGTTTGTATAAAGCGAGAGAGTGTATATACAAATACAAATACATATCTCTCCGTCATATACACTTATGATTATACTAATACAAATCTTCCCCTGCCCAATTCTATTTTGCCAATCTCTCTCGCTTGCTTTATACAAACACAAATTATACAAAGTATTCGTATAATCTGTGTTTGTATAAAACGAGGGAGACATTTAATATACAAATATTCAATTGTATATTAACACGATTCAAATTTTATGTAGATATTCACAAACACAATCATTGATACATATACATAGAAGTTACATATATACAATTATCTTAACCAATATACATATACAATTCACCTCTTTCTACTCTCTGCTTCTCTTGCTCGCCTCTCCTCTCTCTCTCTCTTAATCTCGCTCGCTACTCTAGCCTAACACAAAGAACATATACATATACAAATACAAAAATTATAGACACAAACACCCGATTTATATAAATCATCGCGATTTATACAAATCAGATGCTCCATAACAACATATCAAATAGCAAAATTATAGCTATAGAACGTAAATATGATTTTATGTTTGCTATTACTAAAAGTTTCTCTATTAGAAATGAGGTTCTCCGAAATAAAATACGAGTAGCATTAAATGTAGACAACATGAGATAAGCGAGATAAGATGCTCTAGACATGGGAAAAGAAAATGCACAAATGAAAAGCAGATTGAAATTATTTGTGTGTATGATTAACGAAGAGAATTGCTTTTACTTTATTTTTAATATTTTATGAAGAAAACTATTTTACTCATAAACTCAAAAGCTTTTGAATCTTACTATAAGTTATTTCTATTTCTCTCTAGTTCTTTCTAATACTTTCTAGTTCTTTTTATTGAAAATACGAAAAAGGTCTGGATTATCTGAAAAAGTTCTAATATACTTCTCGTTTGTATATTGGGCTACAAAATTAGGTTGGGGCGGTTCAGAAAAACTTGATGGGTTCGGAATTTAATTTTTATCTAATTGAAAGGCGCTATATAATAAATAATAAATATTATAATAAAAAAAATGTTAGTTTTTATGGTAAAAATGAGCTAAAAAAGTGGGTTGAATGATATTTTTAGACTTATAAATGAATGAGTGTATATTTGAACCTTTTCGGACATTTCAAGAATATTTTTAGCCATTTTCCTTGAAAATAATAAGCAGCATCTGGAAATAAACAATAACATTCTTATTTATTTATATTAAAATAAAAAAACAAATTAAATTAGGATAAAAAACATATTTCAATATAAATTAGGAGTTCGGATAAATAGACATTCGATAATAACTAGGATCTACTTATAATAAGAAGAAACTAAATTAAACTAAAAGAAGAAAACATATTCCAATATAAACTATGACAAATAAATCTTTAATAGACTTGAATCAGGTAAAATAAATTTTCAGTAGTTTACCGTAACAAGGCTTGCCGACTCCTACTCATATCGTTTCACTATTTAAGTTTACGAAGCGTTCCGTCTTTTGGCTTAATTGTCAGTCCCTTTCATCGGCTTAACTACATAATAATAATATTTGCTTCCGTAAAACTCATCAAATCTACAAAATCTGTCCTCCTTTCGCTTTCTTCTATATCAGGTAATTTTCTTCATTAATCTGTTAATGATTTGTTTAATCACACTTTAACTGTTTGAGTTTCTATTTAATTTAATATTAATGCTATCTAATCTACAATTGACAGTTATCCCATCACATATCACAAATTTTCTTCTTTCCTAGTTCAAAATTCGTTCTGTTTCATCTTGATCAGCGCTCAATTCTTAATCACGATCAATATCCAATTTTTATTTTTTTACTTATTTTAATGAATCCTGTTCGATTGGAATGTGGTGAATTAATCGATTGATTTATTGTTGTTGGGGACTGTTTGGTTTTTAATTGTGAGAGAATGGAAAACTGAAGGCAGATCTGTTAATTGTACAATTTTGAGTTCTTCCAACCGTCAAGATTAACATTAATACATGAAGAAAAAATGTAACTTTGCCTAGTCGGATTTCTCAGAACTGTTAATGTTGTGTGAGGCAGATTTGGGATTTGAAGTTTATGGGTTCATACAATAACCTTTTAAGTTAATATTTAATAATAGTTTGATTCATATAGTCAGATAATTTACTATATATTTTGTGAATTTCTTAATACAAATTAAATACTTGGTGGAACATAAGCTATTGGATTCACGTGGACCCTTATCTCTTATAGGTAAGGTTCCCCCTGGTTCTGTAGTGCCATTCATCCTCAATGCTACTGCTAGTTCTTTTGTTTTTGTTGATTTGTAAACCACTCATGATTTAATCTAACATTTTTGTTCTTTATTTGGAGTGTGGTCGCCATTGCCCATCTAATGTAGTCTCTTATTGCTATAGCTTTAAGAAAACCTTTTTTTTTTTTTTAATTTTTACAGAAGTTTTCATCTATGTAGGAAATACCAATTAGTTTGGAATATATTTTTGTTATGTTAGTACTTGCTTTTACGTCCTGTGATTTCTACAACTTTTTAGCCCTGTCCAAGATTTTTATGCCAGTAGAAAATATAGAGAGCTATAGTATTTTTTTATATTTTTTTAATCTTTCTTTATTATTGCATTGTCTCCCCATACTTGAGCCGAGTTTCTATCAGAAACAATCTCTCTACCTTCACAAAGTAGGGGTAAGGCTACGTACACACCACCTTCTCTAGACAGCACATGTACACTGGGTTTATTGTTGTTATATAATTGCTGGTCTAAGATGAATTCAAATGGAGAAGCATGGTTAGAACCATGTTTATAGCACTGACCCCAGCTTTTTTGGGATTGAGGTGTTGTCGTCAGAATATTTATTGACCGGTAAAGAATTTGTTTCTGAAGATGCATTCTTCCCACTTTTATGTTGTTGCTTTTAGGGCTCAATGAGTCCGCATTAGGATTAACTTTTCTTTTTTTGTAACCAAGTCGTTTATTGACTTTTAGGTTATCTGATTTGGGATTTAATATGGGTATGTTAGCATGGATGATTTCTTAACCTTAACCCTTGATTAGTTTCTTCGTAGTAATGTTGCTCTATTACTTCAGACTAGGAACTACTATGTTGTGCTTCCTTTTTCCTTTGAGACTAACATGCATTGTGATATTTTCCATCTTATCAGTACATATTTTTGTCAAACTGATACTTTTTACTTAATACACATTACACATCAGGGGTGGTCTTTTATTGAGTATTGTCTTGCCAAAATTTTGTACAGAATGGCTATGGAAACTACAGCTATACCTTCTGTCCCTGCTGCACAAGTGATTGGAAATGCTTTTGTTGAGCAGTATTACCAAATTCAACACCACTCCCCAGAGTTAGTATACAGATTTTATCTGGATTCAAGTGTCTTAAGCCGCCCAAATTCTAATGGCGTGATGACATCCGTGACAACAATGAAAGTGAGTATAAATGCAATTGTTGTTCCTTCTACTATACCAGAGAACTTTTATGAATAAGAAAACAAAATAACCATGGTCTAGGCTAATACAAACTTTTATCTGCTGTCAGTATAATAACATAGTAGGTGTTAGTTCACAAAGAGAGTTTCACCCCTTCTAAGTCATATGCTCCTGGCAACTTCTGATAGGGGATAAGTTTGGTGAAAGTCTATAATTGAGGGGGACATTTGAGGACTTCTTCCATGGAAGAAACAGATTGTATAATGCTGAATCTAATATGACCTGCTATTAGTGAAGAACTTAGTTGCATCTGGATGTGGAAGCACAGGGAATTGGAGAAATGATAAACTACGTAGAGGACTTTAGACTCTAATTCTTACTTTGATGTTGGTTCATGACTGACAAAAAGAATGAAATGAACCGCATAAATAGAGCAATTAAACTGCTGGGCTTGTGCAGTTGCAAGTCAATTTGAGAAATTATTAAGATGTGTGAACATATCGCTAAACCTGTCAACTCTACAATATCTTGAAATATCAAGGTTCTAGGTTTGTAGCTCCAAAACTGGTATTTAAATGATTTGCAAGAAATTTCTTTTCAAGAAAATTGGAACTCCATCTTATATTCTAATGCAATTCAGAATGATCTTGGGATTCTGATGTAACATTCAGAAACTTGTATTCTCTGGGAGAGTTGTGTTATCGTTTCTCTTAAGTTTTACCATTAGAAGTAGTCGTGCAAAATGGTGAAGTGCTTTGTCTATTTCTTACCTTGCACCTTGTTCACATATTTATCTTGGCAAGTTTGCAATATAAAATGATAATTTATTCCACAATTCTTACTAATTTTTCACTTATCTTTAACTGATTTTTCACTTATCTTTATGTTGGGGCAGAATATCAATGACATGATATGCTCATTAGGCTACAAGAACTATAAGGCAGAGATAAAGACTGCAGATGCACAACAGTCCTACAAGGATGGGGTCATTGTATTGGTAACTGGATGCTTAACTGGAAAGGATAACACGAGAAAGCAATTCACCCAGACGTTTTTCCTTGCTCCACAGGACAAAGGGTACTTTGTTTTGAATGATGTTCTTAGGTATGCAGAACAAAATGAGACTGATAACAGTTCAGAAATGGTTAATGGGGTCAAGGATGTAGCACCCGTGCCTTTGACGCCTGATCCAGGTTGGATATTTTGTCTAACTCCTTAACTTTTCTTCTTTTTACTTTTCAAATTGCTTACTTGCCTTTTTTGTTTTGATTCTAGAACCAGTTCATGTGCTTGAGCCTCCGAATCACAGACAGCCTAGCTCTCATGCAGAAGATATTCAAATTGTTGAGGAAGTAGTTCATGGTTCTTTGGAAAATGAGAAGCTAGTTGGTGATGAAAGAGAGATTATGGTGGGTGCTGAATCCCATATTAATGCAGAACCAGCTACTTCAGTTTCCCGAGAAGATGCTCCTAAGAAATCTTATGCATCGATTGTAAGTTCTCAAACAAAGAAAGGGCCCACCAAAATCTATGTACCCTCTAATTCAAGAATGGCTCCCGCAAAGACTGAAAAGCAGCCAGTTAAGTCAGTAGCACAAGCTCCTGGTCCTGAATCATCAATTCATACTGCCTCTGGGGGTAATGCATCTGAATCTAAAGATGCTCGGTACAGAGGTATAATATCAAAAAAATCTTGCACTTGCATGAAATATATCATTCCTTACTTTCATTTGTGAAGCATCCAACCGGGCTGCTAAATTAGGATAGAACTTTCACATTTGATTTTAGGACGTAAAGGAATGCTGAAGTACATAGACAAGTGTTTGAGTTTTTCTTCATATTATGAGCCATTGCTACTACTTGCATGATCAAACTTAACGGTTTTTCCATTGGCTCTTTTTATCTTATTTCTTACAATCTTATTATTTATTGTACCATCTAATTTTTACTTACTTTTGATTGTTCCAGCTGAGGGACACTCCATTTATATCCGCAATTTGCCTTTAAATGTTACTGTTGCTCAACTTGAGGTTGAATTTAAGAGATTTGGACCCATTAAGCAAGGAGGCATACAAGTTAGAAGTAATAGGGTTAGTCCAGAAAGCATATTTTACTCATTTGTCCTCCTCTCATCTACTTAATTTTATAGATCTTTAACACTATCTATTGATTTCCTGTTTCTGCAGCAACAAGGATTCTGCTTTGGGTTTGTTGAATTTGAAGATTTGAACTCCATGAACAGTGCGATACAGGTGTGTCCCCCTCAAATCATTTTTTAGATGGGCCATCTTCACGTGAAGTTAAAATCTGTACAACATCTAGATTATGTGCTATGATTAGTTGTGTGTATGAAAGTATACCATGAAGTGTTAAATTGAAGAAACTCTAGTTTTTTAGGAATCCATAAGTTGTCGTACTTAATTGATTCATATAAAGTTGGCCAAAATTTGATGTTCATTACATGAATCTAAAACTAGGTTGTAGACTTTCCCCATTTTATTTATTTCTTTTACGTTAAAACATGCGTTATTATGACTATTGTTACATCCTTCGGTTCCATGGTTTAATGTACGGATTTCTTTATTCAGGCGTCACCTGTTACAATTGGAGGTCTTCAAGCTGATGTTGAGATAAAGAGAACTACAAGTAGAGGTCAGTTACAGACTACAACCAATAAATTAGTCATCAATTTCTTCTCATGGTCTTTTATTCGTACTGTCAAAATCACATACTGTATGTTGTTTGGACCACAACTTCTTCACATAAATGATACGTCAGTATTTTCAATTTCCTATTGCAGTTGGTAGCGGGAGAGGTCGTTTCCCTCCCGGAAGAGGAGCAGGGTACCGAAATGACAATTTCAGGGGCCGTGGAAACTTTAGTGGAGGTCGAGACTATGGTAGAAATGACTTTGTTGGAGGACGTGGCAGGGATCAAGGAGGACGAGGTGGTGAAGGTTACCAACAAGGAAGAGGGAGAGGCGGACGGAGAGGTGGCCTAAGCCAGATTCCTTCTTCAGCATAGTTTGGCTGGAGAAGTTGTGGCAAATTTTGACCGAGTTTTGTGTTGCCATTGTGCAGCAGCAGCAGAACAGTTTAGTTGTGCAGTTTAGTTTGATATCTTTATACTTTTTTCGTTTTCAATTATCGGCCTAGTTTTCTTTCAAACCTTCTACTATTGAGCATCATTTTTTTCTAACTTATTTTTTATGGAGGTAATGTTATGTTTCATGTTTTACGTTTCACAGGATAGAACAATGTTATTATGAATTTTTCATAAATCATATACAAATAGATACAATCACGAATTGAATTAAATAAATTTTGCATCTATACAAATAAAGCGAATAGCAAAATTGAAGAGACTGTAGAGGTTATTTACAATTTTCTTAAATTATAGTTATAATATTAACTAGTAAAATTATCTGCGCCTCATGCGAGAATTTAATATCACCAAATTTATAAAATAATAGTTAAAACCTATCCGTCATTACAAGTAAAATATTATATTATCTTACATAGAAGATTACGTAGTAACGAACATTAATAACGTAAAGAAAAATGATAATTATAATATCTTATTATTTATTATATTATCTTACATACAAGATTACGTAATAACAAACATTAATAACGTAAAGGAAAATGATAATTATAATATCTTATCATTTACCCTCCAATCAATCATCTTTAATTTGATTTTATAATTTTTCTTTTTGCTTTCAGGAAGTGTTACTATTTGATATTTTTGGAGAATCAAATGAACATCAACTCGATATATTAATTTTCTAATAAATAAATAATCGTTAGTGAAAAGATAAATAAATTTTAAAAGGCTGAAAAAAGTGAACAAATATTATAATTCTAACGTGTAGAAAGTCCAGCCCTACCTTTTGCTTTACAGATATCACTTTAAAGTTCCCCATTTAAATGTAGGGTCCCTAAAATGTATCATAAGTAATTATTAAAATAGAAAATTAGAGGGATAATGTATCATATTGGACAAAAATTTAACTTATTATATATACTTGAAATGAAAAAATATACACAAAACTATTCAGTTTATTTGAGTGTTTTTTCAAAATAAACATACCAGAGTGACAAAGTTAAATTTGAAACTACACTTCTATTTCAATCGCAGTGTCGAGAAATACATCTATTACTTCAAGAAAAGTATTTAAAAACCTAGAGTAAACTTGAGAATATGTCCATATTTCATATTGAATTTGAGCGATTAATTTATTGTGTAGTTATCTATAACTTTGGAAATAAAAGAAGCTCAGTTTAGTCATATTCCTCTATAGGTCATCCGGCACATCCTTCAATCCATGTCAAAAGTATTAATTATTGTCTTCTTTTCCTGGTTCACTTCGCACATCAATGTGCGATAAATTTTTTAAGGTCTTTATGTCCTTACAATGGCATACCAAATTTAAATTTTGTCTTCAAGAACTAATAGTATAGATCTTTAAAGAATTTTTTTATTGTAGCTTCAACAATTTAAGTAGAGAAAACCTGCGTGAATACTCAATAAACGTGTGTTATTTAATCTGTACTAACAAATACTTATAACAATAACTTTGGAGAAACATAAACATCAAGGTTTAAAACATATACTCAAAAACAACAATTAATACTATATGCATAAATTAATGACTATAAAAAAATATATCACGATCTACAACAATAGAAATAAACTGTATTTTATGTTTTGTTTGACGTTTAAACGTTATATAATGAGCAAGCTTTGCTTTGCTTGTAATAGTCTTGAATGGTTGTCGTTGTAGACAAATGAGCCAAAATGGGCAGTAAATCTATGCGGATAAACTCGTAGATAGATGTTTTCCTAGTTGAAAATTCGACAAAAAAAATAATAAAAAAATAAAAATCCAACAGAATGCACAATGTCCCTTTAAGGAAATTATTCTCCTCTAGTACCCGAGGTTTAAAGGAATAGATCATCTACGGATGGAACGACTCTATATATTCACCAGTGTACTGATACAAAAACAATGGTGCTCACTTAACATGAGCAAAGTACATGAATATTTCATTGTGCAAACGAAGAAGAAGCTGAGATTTTTCGTTGTTTTAAAATGAGAGAAAATCCCTCTATTTATAGAGGGTAGTGTGAATAAATGTTTATTGTGCCTTACAGGAAAGGTCACGACTCTTTAGAAAAGTTACAATCCTTCAGAAAGGTCACAATCTTTCATAAATGTCATAACTTTTCATAAAAGTCGCAACATTTCATAAAAGTCACAACTTTTCATAAAAGTCGCAACATTTCATAAAAGTCACAACTTTTCATAAAAGTCGCAACTCTTCATAAAACTTGCAACATTTCATAAAAGTCACAAATTTTTATGATAGGGAAAGACTATTTTTAAAAATAAATAAATTTTAAAAAAAATTCTAGCTTGTGATGACGCCACGTAGACGAGCCTAGATTCTCCTTTATATAAATATATATGATATGATATAGGCTAATGTTCGCTAATTTTGCATAATTTTTCCTTTATTGATGAATTAAGTACTAGAAGTCTATATACAACTGTATCCAAATATTGGAATAATTATTTTTGCTTATTGTCAAACAGAACCAAATAAAAATTGAAAACGTGTCGAGCTAAGATGTTGTAAAAAAGAAGCAATTGTACGAGTAGAATATTTGTGTAATCGGAACAAGTTGCTCTATTTATATCTTGCGTGCGACAAAGCAATGTGATGCATCACTCTCTCCACTAGCCACGTCTTTTCTTCTTCTTCTTCTTTTTTTTTTTTTTTTTTCCAACCTTGTTGTTTAATCATATACATCCACAAAGGTGAAATAATAATAATTAAATACAAAACTATAACTTAAAAAATTAGTTGTCAACAGTTTTTGGGAGGTGGGGATTGGCAAAATTGTGTACGTTTCGATTTGTGATAGCACGCATCAACAGTACTATAGAGTCGAATAAAAAATGTCTGGTTAAAAAACGGAAAAGATATTAAATACATTTTGAAATTATTTCAAAAAAATCTACTTCACACTCAAGCTAATGGGATGATTTATTACTCCCTAATACATACGGAAAATGAATTGTCTCTTATTATGTACTCTATCTATCCCTAATTACTATAAAATAACTATTGATATAGTAAGTTTATTATTTTATCTCTGTTAATTATGAAGTAAATGCATTAAAAACTTCAGATTTTTAAGAAGTTCTACATTTTTTTCAAAGTAATTAATTGAGAGTATAATATGTTAAAAAAATTGTCTTTTCTTGATTTGTCAAAATAGAAAACTAACTAGGGACAACTAAAAGAAAAAAATTGGACAAGTAATTAGGGACAGAGAGAGTTAGGAGCTGCTTCTGCTTGGACATTTTAAAAAAAAAAATCTAAAAATTTGTTTGTTTTTATTTTTATTTTTATTAATTGGTTTATTTATTTATTTTCGAAATTATATAGTTCAATTTTGCTTTGGCCTTTAGTGATAGTTTTATTATTTGAATATCACTAGTATTTGTGTGAAATTTTATAATAATTTTGAATAAAAAATGAACTATCAATAAGACTCTTCATATTGGATTTGACAGAAAAAAAGAATGAGATCTATTACTAACCAAAAAACAAAATTTTAAAAAAGAATTTTGATAGTTCATACGTATAAGCTAGTAGAAGATAAGAAATCATAAAGAGAACTTATAATTGGAAAAAATTTGCCACGTGTCGACTTGGATAAGGTAGCACGAAGAATATTGTAGTAATGGATACGTAGGACCGTAGGATTGCTTCGATTTGATGTTATTTTAAGAAATTTATATCATATTATTTTTTTGATAGCTTATTATATATAAAATTATATTATTTTTGAAATCATCCCAATAGTTTTGATTACTCTTTCTTATATTTAAAAAAAATGTCACAAAATAGTCGCACTATATTTTATTAGGATGTTTCATTTGTTAATTAGGACATAAGATAGTAATTAGAGGCTAAGTCATACTATATTGTATTAAAATTGTCTAATATGATAAATCATATATTCAAAATCTAATGAATAAAAATTATGAATCAAAATCCCTAAATAATAGATTCTGACTTTGCTTATAATAATAACAAGTTTTAATATATGCAATGCTCACAAACTAATGTCTACTTTCGAACCAAAATCAAATATTTTCCCATCTTAAAACGATTACTGATTCCTATTAATAGAAAAAAAACATAATGTGTAGCATAACTAAAAGATTTGGACGAAAATATAAATTATATTTGACTAATACCACAAAAATATACAGGGAAAGAAGAAAAAACATACCTCGATTTATAGCTTGATGTGACAATTACCGGACAAATTTTATTTCGCTAATTGTAGTATGTAGTAAATTTGAGTGTGAATTGTAGTAGTTCACGTCTAGATCTACATAAATATCCGAGGCTTAATGTAAAAATAATAATTAATGCTTCATTATTTTCCAACTAATGTGCATAGCATATTTATATATATCAACTTATTCTAGTTTGTATATAATACATCTTCAACTTATTCATGAGGACGTGATTCTAAATAAGAGATTATAGAATTTGAGTATTAGAATAAATAATTTACAGATATCGAACATTTCACCTTTTTTCAGTAGTAGAGGCGTAGAGTTTTAGTCTAGAGATTTTACATGTTTCATAATTATTATTTTTCAAAAAAAATTCATTAATACTATTATTTCTTTTATTTTTACGGTTAGTTAATGATCTTTTTCCTCAAATGTTTTCATCATAGTTTTTTTATGGAGCATTTCTTTACTCAATTGTCTTATTTTAGTTTATTAAAAAAATATCATTCTACTATAATTAGGAATAATTCAATTTTAAAATTTTTATTTTATTCCTAATAAAATAATTACTACCTCACAAATCTATAGTGGACTGGTTCTAAGATATAAATTTTTAATTTTTTTTATTTTTTAAATACTGTATCAAGTCAATTAATCAAACGATGTCCCATGAAATAAAACAGAGAAAGTGATGTTCGCTATGTCTCAATTTGTATAACACTTTTTTATTTTTTTAGAGTCAAACATTTTAAGTTTGATCGAAAATTTGCACGTATAATTTTCATTTTTTTAAAAATGAAATTAATATACTTGTAAACTACGTCTATAAGTCACAATAATTGAAAATTTTAAATAATTAAAGATATATAAAAAATTTATAATAATTTTTTTTAAAAATATCGCATAAATTGAAACGGAGAGAGTGATGTATTCGATAAAAATTGGATACGTGTGTTGAATGGACCCGAGCAAGTTGGTGTAGTTATTATCTTTATCTGACAAAGACTGCTGCACTTTTTCCACTATCCACCTCCCTATTCCGCAACTTGCAAATTGATCTAGCTGTTACCATCTAATCATTTAACGACACGTATGCTCCAACCTCCACGTGTTAATATATTAATGAATTCGTAAAAGAGCAAGTTGTATAATACGGGGTCCACTTAGATCTGTTTCTTGATTTTTATCCTTCGCGTATTTTTGGGAGATTCTTTTTGGACCACTTGCTCTTCCTTCATCATAATTCCTTTTTCTCTAGTTTATATTCGAGTTTCAATTAAATTTGAATGGTATATTATAAGAGTTTATTTGAAGATTATGCTTTCAATAATTTATTTATTTTATATTCATAGTTTAATTTGAGATTTCTAATTAAATATAAAATATTTTGTTAATGTATCACAATTCATATTAAAATTGTAATTCGTTTTACTCGATTGTGTGCCTTTCTTTTCAATTTATCTTTTCCCTTTTCCTTTTTCTTCTCTCTAAAGAAATACACCAACATCTAACTAACATTCTTGGATTCTAAAAAATTACATACTTAACTAGTATTGCTTTCATTAGTGAAATCATAATGTGTCAATCTTTATATATATATGATTCCAACTAAATTCGAACAGTATACTGTTTAACTCGATCATTTGAGAGTGATGTCCTCTACATTTTTCTTTATGATAATTAATTTTTTGTAATGTGAAATCAATAACAAGAATTCACTTCATTTTGATTTTAATAGCTTTAACACTTGGTTAGCTCTACAAAAGGTTACTCCCTCCGTTTCACAAAGAATGACCTAGTTTGACTTGATACATAGTTTAAGAAAATAAAGAAGACTTTTAAAACTTGTAGTCATAAATTAAAGTTATGTCAAATGTACAAAATTGCCCTTTAGTCTTGTGGTCTTAAACATGTCACGTGAAAAATTGAAATTAAAATGTTACCAAAAAAAGAAATAAGTCATTCTTTTTTAAACAGACTAAAAAGAAAATGAGGTCATTCTTTTTGAAACGGAGGGAGTATATTTTTTGCGAAAATAAAATTTGGTTCTATCAACCTCATTGTTTGTTTTTTTTAAAAAAAGAAATTAAGGTGTGTTGGACTACTTTTTTCATGGAATAAAAATAATTGTGGTAAATAGTTCTAGCTAATTATACAATTATGAGTTTAGGACAAGGCTTATGTATATTTTTTTTCTATATCTATAAACTAGACTATAAAGTTCACACCAAAGGTCAAGCATTATTTAAGAATTAATTAACAAAACAAGATAGGTACATTCATGTATATAATTTATCAACATGCTTAAGAAATAAATACAATATTTTTCACCTGTCTTTTGGAATTAACATAATTAGTTGCCAAGTTGCTTTAAAGTAATACCGACCAAGAGCAAGTTGCATATGAAATAATTAAAATTTTATCTAACTTTGAAAGAAAACAACGTTGTCTGTCAAGCTGTGTTGTTGATGGATCTGAGTGACTACTGCTAGTGAAAATTATACTATTGTCTAATATACCCACTTGGCTTTGTTCATGTGACAGAGCCACTAACTTAAACTCACTTTTTTTTATCTTTTTTCTGTGGTTTCTATTCATTGAATCAAAATTCTTTGTCCCTTATCATTTCTTTTCTTGTACTATACAATATGTTATGTTAAAAAAAGGAAAAAAAAACATCATTGACACTACTTTATTGTCAATTCACAAACACTAGTTTTTTTTGCGAATCAACATTTTTCACGTAACTTTCGACAGTATTTTTTCACTTTCAACAATTGTGATATTCCAATGTGGAAACAAATTAGCAAAAGATGCGGTTTTGACAAACTAAAGTAATTGGAGTAGAGGAGGAAAATGATTATTTTGTCGTGCGTTTGGTTAGAGGTATTAAGTAGTTATTATATTATTTATCCTATAATTTATTTCATAGTGATGTAATAGGTCATCTTATATATATGATAAAATAACTTATATGAAATAATTAATTTCAGAATAACTTGTTCACAATCAAACAAATACTTCCTTTTGTATCCTTTTCTTATTGGTGCATTCATACACAATTACACATATTAATAATTTTTTTAGATTCGCCTCTATAATTAGTTGCCCAATTATATTGTATACGTTTTAAATATGCTGCTCTTATGAGTGAGTATTAGTTCTACATCTATTATTAAAAGAGTAATGGACAATTCTCATTTATGAACTAGTTTTTAGCATCAACTTAGATTAATAATTTGCAAATCTTCAAATTTATTTTCCTATATAATAAAATCATGCTAGGTTAAAGAGCAATTAATTTTAAATAAAACCTTTAATGTGTCAACATGCCATAATTTATAATGTGTCAAAACCAATAGTAATAATTTTGATGTGTCAAAATACCATAATTAAACTTGATATTCATATTGTGCATAACAAAATACTTAAATTATATAAAATTAAACAAATAAATGCAGACTTAAAACCCCTAAAATGCGAGGTAGGACACACGTAAGAGAGGAAAAAAGTTGCCGTTATTAACAAAGGCATGGTAGGGGCATAAAATACGAGATTGCCAAAATTGATACGTGTCGACAAATTCAGCCATGTATGATAATGATACACGTCAGTACCTGTTCCCGATAAATAGTTATATAGAAATCCAGCCAGTCACAAAAAGGTAGCCCATAGGTCAATCCTACCGCCACGTGTCATCAACTGCCTAAGTATTTTGCGTTATTCCCTACGACACTCTATTAAGTGACCACAAAAAAAAAGAAAAAAAGCTTTAGATGTAGACCGTCACGCCATTTATGACTCCGAGATTTTCTGTAACACGTGGCACTAATTAACCGACACGTGGCCTTTTGTTCCGGTAATACCTTTATTCTTGTTTGCAGTTAAATGAAGAGACATTGTGGCAAACGTCCCTTTAAACCAGGTTGTCTAAACCACGTGGGTAAAGAGGACTCTTCATGCCTACCACGTGTCGGTTTTTGCTGCGTTTTACGTTTCATCGTTGAGGGGTTTTTCGTCATTTTCAATGGTAAATAGGAATATTAAAGTAGTCGTGGAATCATCAAGTTGTTCTTCTTTTCTCTGTTTTATATAGTAATTTTTTTCTTTATTATATGGCTCAAGTTAACTCTTTTGCCGGCGAATTTTGGAACTCCGGCAACTACATTCTCTAACGTACACAGAATTTTCTGTTTCTTATAATTTAAAAAGTTGTTTGAAGTTTTGTTTTTTTTTTGTTTGTTTAAATGGCTGAAGCTGAAGAAAATAGAGAGAAGAGGTGTTTTTCTAGTATGCAGATGGATGTTTTTTCGAGAGATCTGTTGCATAAATTTATGAATGGAAACAACAAAAAAATTCATGAAATTCCTAATGAGGAAGATGATTTGGAGCTGAGTTTGGGGCTTTCATTGAATGGAAGATTTGGGGTAGACCCAGAAAGGGCTAAGAGACTAAAACGGTCTTCTTCAATTTCTAACTTTATGTTTTCCGGCGGGGATGAGAGTAATGGGCGTTGTTCATTCTCTGTTGGTTCGATTACGAGGACTTGTTCGTTGCCTGTTGAGGGTGAGGAGGAGTGCAGAAAAAGGAAGGAGTTGCAATCTCTGAGGCGTTTGGAGGCTAAAAGGAAGAGAATGGAGAAATTACAGAATGTTAGAGTGGTGAAGGATAAGGTTGATTTAGACGAACGTCCTGAAGAAAATGGTGGTCCAGTTGGGAATTCATTGCCTGTGTCACAAGGGTCTATGGCTTCTCAGGGAAGTGGTTCTTCAGGAATTTCTGATTTTGGGAGTCAACCCATTCAAGGTATAACCAATTTATTCTCCTTAATTAAATTCTGTACCTTTTTTGGGGCATGTATGTTTAGATGTTTGGCCTCGAATTTATAGTATTTATTTGCCTATACTATTACTGTGTGTTTTGCCTGAATTTGCTTATTTGAGAAGATGCTTTTTCATTACCGTGTCTTGGACCATAGCACGTGGCTACTTGAAGCTATTTAAGGACGAATTCTTTTGAGTTGTTTGAGTTAAACGATCCTGTGAAGGAATTAGGCATTCTAATGCAGCTTTTCATGAATTGATGTGACTTGTTAGACCTTATGTTTAACATTTCTGTTGAATTATGAAGTAAAAAGCGTAATTACAGCATGGGTTGTTACCTGATCTTCCTATTGGGGAGTTCATCGGTAGAATGGATGCTCCTCATTAGGATAAAGATAATTCTTTTACTACTCTCCGTTAGGGATCTTGTAAATATAGATTTTCAAGAAGAATCTTGTTCTTCAATATCTAGTCTCGGTTATGGGTGAGGCGCGCTAAAAATGATTATTCCACAACCATTTTATTCAGAAAAATTTTGTGAGGGGAGAAACAGAATTTCCATAATTTGGGTTTCTATTTTTTAGAAGTAGTGAGATGGACAGATGGTTAGTTGCCAAAGGAATAAAAACTAAGACAGCTACCTGTCCCTGGAATCCATTAGGACCTTTTCTGTTGTTTACTTGAATTCACTGTCCATCATTAATTTTGTTGGTGTTGTGAAATTCACTGCAACTTTTCCCTCATTCACCTCCTAATATCTGATATTCCTTGAACTGATCGGACATGCCGATTTGGCCAAGAGTATTTTACATGTGGCCTTACTGTTGATACTGGGCTATATCACTTGTTTCCGGGGGGGGGGGGAGACCCACCTGCAGCTTGCCGGGTGCTCAAGCTAAGTTGCACGGACTCTTCACTTTTGATGCTGCACCCGTGTTGGATTCTCCAAAAATACACTACTTTTGGTGAATCCGACATGCACCCCTCGACATTTTTGAAGAGTCCAAGCAACATAGTGCTCAAGCACCCATTAATCCTGACATAATTTTGTACATATATATAGGAACTTCTAAAATTATGGTTATAGCACCACCAACTGAACAAATAGTTCGCCGGGTGCTTTGGTTAGGTGTGGCTAAATTGTAAGTGCGTCTTTGGTGTCCTGAGTTTGATAATCAGGTGACGCAAATGCTCTTTTAGTAAAGTCATTTATTTGATACTCAGGTGATGCAAATGCTCTCTTATTAGTCATTATCTTTTCTGCTTCAAGTCAATTGTTTTCAATTTTTTCCCCTGATACACATTCTTCTTGCCTAAATTTTAGTGATTCTTATTTGTCTTTGCTTATTCTAGTTTGCAATTACAATTCCTCCTCTCTTTTTTTGTTGCTTTGGTTACTTTTACGTTGAGTTTTAAATTTGCTTTTATGTTTGTAAATTTTTTGGACAGAAAGAGAAAAAGAATCCGCTAACAAACATTTCTCTCATTTTTTCCTAATGAAAATTTAGCAATTTGGTTAAGAAATCCTTGAGGCTAATTCTTTCCTTTTTTCCAGAAAAGTAGGAGTTTTTTTTAATCTAATGATACTATTAATGGTATTTTGTTCATTTATTTAACCTTCCTCGGTTAAATAATTGTGCACTTATAGCACTTGCACCAAGTGTAGCAACTTTATATTAACTAAACGAATACACAATCTTAAAATCCTGGATCCGCCACTGCCATTGCATGTTACAGTAGTAGAATTTGAGTGTCCTTTGTTGGGATGACAAAATGTCTTTTTAGTGGAGTCTTATTTCCTATGTTTAAGCAGATTCTTATCTCTTTTCGACACTATACGTTCCAATGCAAAACAGCAGTTGCCTGCAGAGGAGTCTTATTGCCTTTGATTAGCTTTGCCTGGTCCTGTGTGTCTTTGGGTGGAGTTTTATTGCCTATGTCGTAGAGAATTTGACCCCTCCTGCAACACTGTATGTTCCAATTCAAAATAGCTACTGCTTGCAGAGGAGTCATAAGTCCTTTGAGAGGGGTTCTAGTAGAATTTTATCCCTCCTTTGTCACCGCGTTTCCAACTCAAAATAGCAACTCATTTTAGTGGTGAATGTATGTGCTTTCTCTTGATGCTCTAGCGTGATGTCTCCGTGGGATCTCTCTAACACAATGTTTTTAGCGCTGTTAAGATTTGAAGTAAGCTTTCGATTTCTGTATCGAGTCATCTGTCCTTGCAGGTGGTTGATAGATAGATTGTCTTCACTGTCTCTCTCTGGAAGGAACTGACCTATTTTCAAATCTTAACTATTGCAGGGCCAGGTGACAACAGTACTGGGGGTAATACTCCGGCTAGCATGAAGCCTTCAGAGCATGAACGGAAACAGGTAGCTAAACCACCTAAAATCACAAGCGAAAAACCACCTAGCACATGTGATGGAAATGCTAGCAAGGAAGCAAAAGAAATGTTGAAAAACTACATGCTCAACATGCCTTGTGTTTCCACAATGGGCAATGGGCCAAATGGTAAGAAGATCGAAGGATTTCTGTATAGGTATCAGAAGGGAGAGGAAGTGAAAATAATGTGCGTTTGTCATGGCAACTTTCTGTCGCCAGCTGAGTTTGTGAAGCATGCTGGTGGCGGTGACGTTGCAAATCCGTTGAAGCAAATTGTCGTCAATCCTTCACCTCTATTGAGATGATGCCAGCGGAATTCTATAATGGCGCTTGACACAGAAAAGGGGCAAAGCTTCAAGAATTCAGCTTTGCTATCATCGTTCATCTTCTTTTGTAACATGGACCAAGGTTCTTTTTTATTTTTCACTAGATAGTAGTTTTTTGCGGAATATTGCATAATCAATGGGCAAGTTTATCCCCTTTCTGTGGGGAAAAAAAGTTTAAGAATTCCCATTGGCATTTATCTTTCAGTTATTCGTTATTTTGGAAGTCCACATTAATTTCCTGTACATGAAGGACTGTACAGTGCAGTTGGTTCTGTTCTCATTCGATCAATTTCAACACAAAATGTGGCTTTTGAAGGGGGTAATATCAGCAAAGTCTAACAAGCTTGCCCAGCTTCTGCTCTTAACTGATGCAGTTCATGGTCTATGCGGCCTTTGTTTCTAACGATAACATTAGTAATTCCATGTAAAATATATTAGTCAACAATGATTTTAGTTCACATTTCCAGCTGTTCTTTTTATTTTTCAATGGAAGTCGGATGTATTCTTTTTGAATTTAAATGAACATATATTTTTTAATCTTTATGGCCTATGGATCTTTAAAATGGAACAAAAGATGGGGGATTGTTCCCAGAAAGCATACAATTAATTGATCAAGTAGACTTTGTTCTGTTGCTAAGGGAGCAGCGATGCTAAGGCAGATATTCCGGGAGCAGAATGAAGTGGTGGACTTACTAAGCAGAAAGGGTTTAAGTGCACTACCTTTTTGATAGTTCTTCCTGTGTTTATAAATAAATAGTACAGGGCAGACATTTCAGGAACTATGCACTCAAAAAAAAGAAGAGAGAAGGTGGTGCGGTAAGTAAGGTAGTGGATGCATGAGATTTTTTTTTATCTTAATCAGAGGTTTCACATTTACGTCAGATAATCAGAGGTTTCACATTTACGTCTAAAAATGGGGAATTGGTAATTCTAGTTTTCAGTCAAAAATTGTTTAGCTAGATTTTCGGGGGACAATTTGGGTTTATATCCTTTAGGTGATTGTGTTAAAATATGCCTACTGTGATTTGTACGTATATACTTATATTATATGAAATCTTGGAGAATGGTATCCGTCCCTCCCACGTCAAAGAAATAATAATATTACACTACAATTTAGGCAGAAACACGAGGTAAAAGTAGATAATGCATCTACTCTCTGTTGACTTGTCTTTTAATTTGCTCACATTATTGTGGTAGGTGTACCAACTAGAGTGTTAAAGTTGCTGTCAGACAAATATCTATGTGAATTGTCCCAACCTGAAATGTGTCGTACCACCAACAAAATAAATATTAATGAAGTTAATGAAAACTGAAAACAATTGAATTAGAAGCAAAAATATTGAGTTCAATTTGCTTCTCTAATTTTTAAAGTTGGATAGGAGAAAGTCGGAAAAATTGACCATGATTCAATTCGTTGTTAATAGTCTATCATTTTAGGGTGTAATCTGAGATAAGAAAATTAAGAAGAAAACTGATCATTTCATAACGGATTGAAACGTATGTGTATTCATGTATTAGAAGTGAATTATTCATGTATTAAAATTGATTACCATATTTGGTAATATTGTAGTTGCTAATTTGTCACACATTACAATGTTTGATTATAATTACCAATTACAATCCCACGTAATTGATATATGGAGTTCATATTTGAGCTAGTGAAATGTGAAATAACTATATCCTGCATAATTAGTCCATGTATATCACTAATATATGTATAACTCTATTGAGCAATCAAAGGTCTCTTGTTCTCTTACTCTTAGGAGTCGTTTTGGATTTTGGTATAAGGCATAATTTCAAGATAAAATACATGATTAGTTGAATGTATTAGATATTTTTTGTATTATTTATCTCATCATTTATATCTTAATGATATGCATTATCTCATATACACAATAAAATAATTTATCTCAGAATAATTAATTTTGTAGCGTATCCTTAGCCTAAGTTTAGCTAATTGTCACGATAAGAGTTAGATTAAACAAACAAAAAAAAATCCGAACATTCCGGAAATAGTTCAAAAATTGTCTGATACTTTGATGTTAAGACTCGTATTTAGTCGAAAGGAAACAAATAACATTAGATTAAAGTTAAACAAAAGAAATAAGTCATGTAAATCTTAATCTATTTGTAGAAAAGATTCAGGTAGTGTGAATAATTTAATAAAATTAACAAAAGTAGAAATATATGCTTAACCGTTTGCACGTGATAATTTTACTTTTTATAGGATTTGACTTGTGGGCTTTATATTTACAACAATATGTGTCTTTATACCTAAATCTAATGGCAGAAAATTTGTGTTTGTGATCTGCAAATCTTGGAAACTATTAATTGAATTGACATTAGAGCTACCTTTTACTTTCCGACAGGGACAAAAGTTTTGTAACAAATAAATGTTAGCTAATATTGGTAATTTTAGATAAATAGTGGTAATTTACTAATTTCTGACAATTTTGCCTAATAAAGTTGACTACATATGACGTCTAAATGTAGACAAATTCAAATATCTAGTGACAGAAGAGAACATGACACAATAAATGGAGATGTAATTACTGGAATAATGGAGCACTAGTAACTACTAGAGACATAGCCATGCTAATTTCGTGTTTCTTTTATCTAACGTTGAAATGAAACAGATTAGAACCAAATAATATAGAAATTGAATATTCTTAGCTAGTAAAATTAAATATTTATAAGGCATCCTAGTTGATCACGCAATACATAAATAAAACATGTATTAGTTACATGATTTCAAAATTACAAATTAAAAATAATTTTATTCATAAATAACTTAATTCCTAACTAGTTGCTAAAATATTTATAACTTATATAAAAATTAATATAAAAAAATTGTTTTTTCACCGACTAGCGAACGACCCTAAAAGTATTATCGATGGTGTAGAGTATGAGTAATAAATCAAGTACTACTCCCTCTGTCCAATAATACCTGTCCACTTCTTCAGAAACTATAATTTTACTATATCAACCCTTTGAATATAATAAATACAATGGTAAATGACTATAATTAATAATAAGTGTAAATTAGAATTTAAATATAAAATTATTTATTGATTTCATAAAGCGAACAAGTATTATTGAACATCTCAAAATAACAGTATACAATTATTGTTGGACGAAGAGAATATCTATTTTTTTTTAAAAAACAAAAAACAAAAACGAACTAAACAAAGAAAGTTTAACGAACAAATTAAAAGGAAAGAAGTAGCAATTTTTTTTTGATAGAGCGAGTGGGAGAAGAAAACGCATTGTCTTTGACCACACCACACCTCTACATTTGGGACAAACTCTCCATCTTCACCTTCTTCTTCTTCTGCTACTTGCTAAACCTTTGCTTGATCTTCTTCAACAACTACTTTTAGGGCCGCTAAAAAAACTTACTCCATTTCAATTGCATTATTAGGGCAAAGGATTCAATCAACCATTCCAGATCGAGCGGGCGAGCATTGATCGCATCTCACCGTCTCTCAAACTCGCTTGCCTCAGATCTGTCTCTCTTCTCATTCGCCTCTCGGAGCTTCTTCTAATCGTAAGGAGTTTCACTTCTATTTCTTCATTTTCGTTCACTTGACTCCCTCGCATTCAACCTGATTCACTTTTACCTCTCACTTAATTTATGATTTTTCTTTTTCTTTTAGTTTAAACTTTACGTGCTTCAGATGCCTGCATTATTGTTTTTTTGTATTTGTACTTGTTTCCTTCATTTGTTCGTATGCTCTGTTTTAGTTCCGTACAGTACTTTGTACTTTGTAGTTTTTTTTTTTGTTTGTGAATTTACTTAAATGGTTACCTTGGATTGTAATCACTATTCAGCATCGGGAAAATGCTGATGGTTGATAATTTGAGACTGCTGTTTTCGGCTCGCTGTGCTGTTGACTATCATTAGTTGTTTGAAATAAATTACTAGCTTTTAAGTTTCACTTACAGAGAGTGGGAAAAGAGTTTCAAGTTGAAGTTGAGGTTGCTATCATTTTTTTTCTGTAAATTTCTACATTTCATGCTCAATGTGTGCCATGCTCACAAGAGTTGCTGCAATGATCTTCATTGAAGCTATAAAAAACAGTATTATGTGTAATTATATTACTCAAGCTGCTAATTACTTTCTACCTACTAACAGACTCGACGCTTCTTAAACCCTGGCTAGCTTCTACTCCATTACCTTGTCTCTGCATCTTCATGAGGTAACCAGACTTTGCTGGATAATTTTGTTATTTTGCATTTCATGAACTGACCAGATGACATTATGCATTACGCGTTATGCATCTGATCTTCTATTTGTTCATTTCTAACCATTGACTGAATATGGACACACACAAAAAACCGTATATAATGGTTGCTTTTGCAGTAATTGTGTTTTTCCCATGCCATACATGTTTGATCTTCATCATGAAATGAGTTTCTTCGCTTCTGGTTGAAGTGTTAGTCCTGCTTTATCTGATGAGATTATTCTAATTGTTTGGTCAATAATGAATAGTTCTTATTATAATTTTTTTATTGAAAATGCTCCTCACTTTTATATATTTCCAGATTCTACCAATCCCTGTTATGACAACAGCGTATTCAGAAACAGACTTGGCTCATCATACATCATCTTTTAATGAATAAACTGCAGTTGAGTTGAAGGTGTACCTCTTATCAGCAAACATATTGCGGATTTTTGTTACTCAATTTTTGGATTGGTGGGCATCTCTTAGATTTTTAGCTAGATTGGGAACCAGCTAGCAAAGCACAAAGTGGAGATAAGAAAAGATGATGGTCAGCAAACAACTTGTGTTGACGTATATATATCTCCTTGTCTATATAGTGCTATCCTCGGGAGTTATTTTGTACAACAAGGTATATTTTTTTCTATAATGTTCTGTGAGATTCTTTGGCTTCAAATTTTTTTTGGTATGATCACTGTTTGTTGGTTAGGTTATTCTTATATTCTACATTTTCAACTCAATAGAACATGTTCTTTACTTAAAAGGGACAAATAAGATTAACATTGTGGTTCAGGCAACGTATGTGGTGGACAACCAAAAGTGACAAGCTGTTATCACATCTATTAAAAAAAATGACCAGCTGTTCTGATTTACTTCCTCTGGCTCCGAAGGAGCAGTTAATTTAAGTCCGCATGTTGTTAGCTTCTTGGTTGAGGAAGTCAGGAAGAAGAGTACGGGAATTTTTTATCAAGCCATTTTCTATCCATAATCAGCTTGTTCAATTAGTCTAGATTGAATAAAAATTAGAAAATAGTTTCTTATATTCCATCCAATCACACCAAACAACATGAATGGAAGAGAAACATCTTGGTGGGGAACCGACCACACTGTGAGTAATAATTCAGTTGTGGCTTTTGATTTGAAAACCAATGACATTGGCTGATGATTCAATATACCATACGTGTTTGGTCTATGGATCATTGAAAGATAGACATTGTTCTAAAATCATGGTTATTGAAGATACTAAATGGGGAGTCATTCTCGGCATATTAGAATAGAGGATTTAACTTAAATAATATAATACTAAAGCAGTAGTTATTGTTCACTTAAAAGATATGGAGGACAGGTTTCCCTCTAACCTTTCCACTTGTGGGATTTCACAGGGTTTGTTGTTGTTGTTTCCCTCTAACCTTTAGTATTATAGCATTTTACCCAAATTCAAAGATAGTACCCTTTATCTTCTGTTAAAGATACTTGTTGCTTCTCAAATTTTCAGAACTGTAGAAATCTCATCATTAACATCAATGTTAAGATTGAAAGCACTTGTTTATTTACTCCTTTCTTTGTTTTCTTTTTTCTCCCTTTTTCCTCTTTTTCTCCTCTTTTTTCTTCCCCCCTCGACTTACCCTTTTGAAGTTCGTTAGGTTTTGGGTCCAATTATGTTTCTGCTTTCGCCGGGTAAGTTGCGGGGAAAAAAGACTGACTAACATTTTAGAGCTTCAGTTTTTTGGTAACTGGTTTAGGAGGGCATGGAAAGGGAGATGTAAAAGAGAAATGATAGATGATATAGGGAAACCATGCTCCAGGATAAGCAATGTGTTACTAACTTCCACTTTCTCACTCTCATTGTTCTTTTGTTGTATGGTGTTTTTCTTTCTTTCTGCACTTTATGCATTGTTGTTTTAGGAAAAAAGACAATACTGCTGCTCAATTTATTTTCTGTATCATTCCAGTTATATTCTTAATCTTGTCAGTGCCATTTATAAGAGCTAATGATTCTTGTTCTGGTTTTTTTTTGGCAGTGGGTACTCTCACCAAAATATTTCAATTTCCCATTACCAATAACACTTACCATGATTCATATGGGCTTCTCAGGCTTGGTAGCTTTCCTTCTTATCCGTGTCTTCAAGGTATTGTATTGTTATTGGTAATTACAGTGTTATTTTTCTTGCAGCACTTCACTTTCTGCTTCTCGATGACAACTTCTTGCTTATCTATTAATTGTTGTTGACCTTGTTGTAGAAGTGTTCTCTTATTTGGATCTTTATGCATCATTTTAATTTTACCAGTGTTGCGGATTTTGAAGCGACTCATCACATCGCATGTTAATTTTCAACCTTTGTTACTTTTGTGCTTTTGATGCGATCTTTGTCTCTGGGCTTGCTTCTGAGTGGAGCAGTTTCTATTTAATGATTGATCGCGTTCTTTAACCCCTTGAGGCCTGAGGAGAGGTTTCTGCAGTGGTTCTTTGTTTTTCTTTTTGATAATTGTGGCGTCTGGGCCAGCTTACGCGCTCCTCGACTAATTCCATGAGGTACCTGCTATCTCCCACCAGTAGAGTTACCCGGTAACTCTAAAATATCTGCGGTTATTCTGAAGAACCACTTGTAGAATTCCTCATTTTAGACGCCCAGTTGGGCCCTGTGGAGAGTTCTCAGCAGATAAATTGATTCGTATATTTGTTCATGTTTAGATATCTAATTTGGCATTTGGCTGTCTTTAGCTTCTGAATTTTGATCACGGCTCACTTTTCATCTACTGGAGGGGAAACTAATTTATATAGTGCACAATTTTTCATTCCATTTGATTTATAAGACTAGGGATCAACTGATTTTCTTCCATCCATGTTAATTTTCTGCAGGTTGTATCTCCTGTCAAAATGACGTTTGAAATGTAAGCATATGGTCCTTTGCATCCACATTGCCTTCAGATGTAATGATGTATGTTATCTTATTTTACTATTTATTGCTGAATCTGCAGATATGCGACGTGTGTGATTCCCATTAGTGCTTTCTTTGCATCCAGTCTTTGGTAAGATTCTACTTTGAGGAACTGAAAGGCTTGCTTGCCTTTGGTTAGAATGTTCAATTGCATTTTCTAAGGTATTATGTGACCTCATAATTAGTAAATGGTTCAATGATGGGTTGGCATGAAACTTGTGATAAAAATGAATTAGTTATGAATGCATGTTTGTAATCATTGAGAATTGACCTTTAACCGATTATGAAGATCTAATGCCTACTGATCATGCACTAACAACGAAACCATTTATACCGTTGAATCTAAATCTAACCTAAACAAGTATTTTTATGTGATATTATTGTTATCTGCTCTTAAGTTAAAAGAAAGATCTGTTAGATTGGCATAAATTTTTTTCATCATACATCTGTCTTGGAACTCACTAATAGAAAGCGGAAAAAGAAGAAGAAAAGAATGTATTCTACTGTTCCTGTTTCTAATGATGCAGGACACTTGACCTTTTTTGGTGATCTGATGATTTGTGTTTAAAATTTCCAAGCTTGCTTACCTTTGGTTAGAATGTTCAATTGCATTTGAACTAGTCTTGAGCCAAATTAAGCATCTATATAACCTTGTATGTCATCTGTTACAGTGGTTTTATTGTTTGGTTTCAAGAATATTGCCAAATGCTTTTCCTCTGTTGACTAATTGTTTCGTAGAAGTAGTTGTTTTGCTATGACTGAGTAAGAATTTGGCTGGTTAAATTTCCTTTCTTCTCCTTGACACTTTCCACTTCTCTGGGAAAGTAGAGGAGGAATTATAGTAGTTAAACTATGAGAATTGGGGTGATAAGAAAACGTGGGACACTTTCGTTCATAATTAACATTCTTTGGTTTGGTAGGGTATATTGTTGGTTTGGCTGGGCAATTGATGTTTTCCACGTACTTGGTCTCCTTGTTTGTCAAAAAAATATTTTCTTTGGGGAGTGTTTTCCCATTTGCTTCAGGTTCTATATGTTTCATTACTCACATGAATATGAGGTTCTCATAATTATGTTTCTTAAAAAAGCGTATGTTTTTTTTTTTGAACATTGGTAAAGTTAGCTTATGTTTGTTTTATTGCAGGTTTGGAAACACAGCTTATCTGTTCATTTCTGTAGCCTTTATCCAGATGCTTAAAGCTCTAAGTATGCCTGGGTAACACTTTTCTATGTCTGTTTCCTTTGTTTGCAAATGTACTGATTGGAGCTTTGTGTTGAAAATACAGTGCCAGTTGCCACCTTTGTCATGGCTGTTATTTGTGGAACTGACAAGTTAAGATGCGATTTATTCCTGAACATGCTGTTGGTCAGCGTCGGTGTTGTAGTTTCATCTTATGGAGAAATTCACTTCAACATAGTTGGTACAGTTTATCAGGTCACTGGAATATTTGCTGAGGCGCTTAGGCTGGTCTTAACTCAAGTTCTGCTTCAGAAGAAGGGACTAACTCTCAATCCTATCACCAGCCTATATTACATAGCTCCATGCAGGTATGTAATAGATGATCCTATCTCATTGAGTTGAGTTATTTCCTCTCATGTGGTGCAGTTGAATAGATTGTCCTATGTTGAGCTCTATATGATTCCAGTTAGATCTTACTTCTTTAAAAAAGAAAAAAAAGAGATTCCAGTTAGATCTCGGTTTTTAATGATTCCAAACCTCCCACCTTGCTCATTCTCACTTGGGAGAAAGGGAGAAAAGTAAATCGAGAACACATACAATTGGAAACTTTTTCCATACATTTGATTCCTGCCATAAATGTACCTTTCCGGATGGGCTTGAGCTACTTTTTCATCTTTTTGTTCTTTAGAGTGCTCATCATTTCATGACATTATGACTGCAATGTACCTCAGATCAGCTTACTGCTGATATTAAAAGTTGAAAGAGGCACTTCTGTATCTCATTTTTATTAAATATATCGTTAGTTTCAAATTGCTTGAGAGTATGTCCTTCTAAATGTTATAGCTCAAGCTGGAAGAGTGCAACTACACATTTCTTTCTTGTGGAATTCTGACTTATATATAATTATACTTTTTTGGGAACAAGTGGCCATACTTATATTTCCGTTAGCATGTAGTCATGTGTTTAGCTGTGTCCTGCATCCGGCATGACTTATTAGTTATTACTGTGTCCTGGCTGGTCTGATGAAGTCAAAATAGGTAGAAATGATGTTAGGGAGATTAGTATTTGGTTGCTAGTTCATTTATGGAAAATTTGTTCTCTGCACACATAGATAGACACATACTCTGCTATGTATGTGCTCCTCTCTTTAGTTTTGTTTATCTTACTTGGCAAGAGATTTTCTGTAAAGAGGCAATTGCTGCTATATGTCACCTGAATCTGATAATAAGCAAGTATGAGAGTTATCTCTGTATAAATGTCTGTTTTTCTTTGGTTTTAGAGTCTCATGCAAGTGCCTCCGTGCTATTTCTTGGGGTTGCTTATGATCACATGTTTCAACGTGCAGCTTTGTCTTTCTCTTTGTCCCATGGTATCTTCTGGAGAAGCCTGAGATGGAAGTCTCCCAAATTCAATTCAACTTCTGGATTTTCTTTTCAAATGCACTTTGTGCTCTTGCTCTGAATTTCTCAATTTTCTTAGTGATTGGTAGAACCGGTGCTGTAACCATCCGAGTTGCCGGTGTCTTGAAAGATTGGATACTTATTGCCCTTTCAACACTAATTTTTCCAGAGTCGACAATAACCACACTTAATATTACAGGCTATGCCATTGGTAAGCTCTATGTTTCTTCTTGTTATGGGAGCTTTGTGCCATCAAACATCTTACTAAAATATTTCTGTTTTTGTATAGCATTATGTGGTGTTGTGATGTATAACTACTTGAAGATCAAGGATGTTCGAGCTGTTCAACTTCCTGTAGATAGTGTTTCTGATCGAATAGCTAAGGTCTGATCTAATTACTTTCAAGTTTCGATTTCAGAATTTGCATTATTTTTTTTCGAGTTTGGTGTTCTTATTCTTTATTCATCACTTCCTTCTTGTTATCAATTTTCCCCAAAAGGAACATCAGCATATGATGATCCATACTTCTTTTGTTCTTCGGGAGCCCCAGTTTCCAGTTTGAAAATCATTCTAATTTCTAGCGTGTCTAGAAAAGAGCTACCTAATAAAGAGAAGAAGAAATAAGACAGGAGCTAGAGAATAAGCTAAACATATAATCTACAGTTATTATTTTTAACATAATTTGAGCTTGCATGGTTGCTTAATTATATATGTCTCTGTTCATCATGGAATCTTTAGCTTGCATGCAAACAAAATTTCTAGTAAAGATGGATTTTATAACAAGCAGTGGCAAAAAAATTTCCTTTATGCAATTTGCCTCTGACAGGAACTTAAAATGGAGAAGAAGTCATCCGATCTGTATGTACCAGACGATATTGTTAAGAACAGTGGAGGAAAAGGTTCAAGGAATGGGTCTCCGGATTCAATTGTGGATGAGGAAGCACCCTTTATTCCTTCAAGTAGGGTCTCTCATCTTGGGCGAAGCCCACTTAGCAGCTATTCACCATGAGAACCGTCAATTCTATAAATGTCATTTTGGGTTCATTTGTTAGAATCACAGTATCAAGCAGATTGATGAGAGCGGGGTCTTGTTCATACACCCTCCACCATTTTGGTAAGAATTGCATTTCTTTGCAGAGTACTACCGCCATTAACATTGCTACTAGTTATTTATTGTAATATTGTTTTAGGCTCGTCGTATTCAATGAAATATTGATTTTTTTAACATCACATGATACTCTCAACCCCACTAAGGTAGTTTGTATGCTTATGCACGGCATCCATAGTAGAGTTAACTTTTATTATGCCTTGGCAAAGAAAATCTTGATCATAGATTTTTAGCTGAGGCAACTTTCTGGGGACTGGTGTAGAAATTGACAGTAACTTCAGTTTTTTTCTTTTACAGTTTTCTGATATCTAAACTGATTCTTGGATCCAATTCTTTTCTTTGTTTGCTGAGAGACTTTAAGTAATTGCTAATCTGGGTTAACATATAATGTGTAATTTTACCTTTGCCATTCATCTATTCTATTTATTGTTGTACCAGTTATCCTCTGTTGGATACCACGAAGAAAGACGATGGTAGATATTGAAATGAAAAGCAACAATCAGCTTGCGTAACATTTTTTTTTTTAATTTTTTTTTAGTGGCTACGACCGTTAATATTACATAGCTCTAACGTGACCAACAAATATAGCAACAAGAAAGCTACTAAAAAAAAATAATCCGTTTTTAAGTAAAAGAGTCATATTGTCGGACTATTATTTCATACATTTGATGATCCAAAACGCAACACACTAAAGTCAAATAGATGATTACATATCCAATGTATTGGCAAAAATATAACGAAAATGAGAACTATATAATCAAACACGTGGCAAGCATAGAAAAATTACAATCTATTGAGTTAGTTAAGGACATCTGTTTGACCATCAGAGAATAGCTTAATTTCGAATCTATCTTATTTGCACCGGATGGAGTTAGTCAAGTTCTATCCAAAGACTTGTTCGGCCATCAGAGAGTTAGCTAATTCCGATTCTATCTTATTTGCACCGGATGAAGTTAGTCAAGGATATTCTATCCAAAGACTTGTTTGACCATTAGAGAATCAGTTTAATTTTGAATCTATCTTATTTGCACCGGATGGCGGATAGCAGGGTTCCGAAATGATCCATCCATTTAGGTAAAAGATAAAACTCAAACAACGACTAGATTTTGGAGATATTCAGAGTTTCATTGAATCCCATTAAATGTGCACGATCTTACCCATGTAACAATTGAAATGGGCGAGAATTTGAAAATAGTTATCAACATCTAAACATATAAATTTCTTCTCTTGCACACTATCGTAAATATCAGAATTCAGTTGATTTTCTTTTATATAAATTTTTTTCTAAGAGCTTTCATAATTTTTGTACCTCGTGGTTACTCAAATCCATAACTTCATGTTTGGAGGTGGATGATGCTTACCATCTGAATAACTCTTTTTTATTTCGAAATTCACCTGATTACATACGACTCTACACATAATTTTTTGTTAGTTTTCACTGTTTATCAAGTGTTTTGAGAACTCAACAAGATTTTCTATTTTCACTTAGGTCAAATTGATTATCTGTTCAATTGTTTTCATAACATCATTATTTCTATATTTGCCTTATCAAGGGTTAATAATATTTGAATTAGTTTCGTTGCATGTGACTTGATTATTAAATAATTTATCTTGTTAACAAAATAAATGAATTTTAAGCTATACATTCAACAGTTATTTATGGTAACATATCTAATTGCAAGTCAATTCAAACTAATCTCCAAAAGGAAATTGAATCTAATTGCAAGTCAATTCAAAATAATCCCCAAAAGGAATTTAATTTAATAGATTTCTCAAACAGAAATGGATAAAAAAGGAAATCGATTTAAGAGATATCCACAAGAGAAATGGGGAATAAAGAAGATCGATTTAATATATTTCCCAAAGAGAAATAGGAAAAAAAGGAAATTAATTTAATAAATTTCTCAAAGAAAAAATAGGGAAGAAGATTTAAACGTTTGCAAACATTATAAAAGTAGATATAATCGAATCAATTGAGCTAGTAAGATCGTCTTTTTGACTTATAACCTTGCTCTGTAATCCTTTTTTTTTCGTCTCGTTATTTCAAAAAGATGGAAAACGCGCAGAACAAAAAAGTGATAGTGGGAGCAGTTCAAAATCAGGCTGTGCAAGTACCAAATGCGATGGCCGGAGACGGATTGAAGCCTGGTTTTCCCAGTGGAGCAGTGGCGGAAACGCCGTACGCGGCAGCAAAAACGTCTGTGTGGTGGGATATAGAAAATTGTCAGGTGCCCAGGGGATGTGACGCCCATGGAATCGCTCAGAATATAAACAAAGCATTAATGAATATGAATTATCATGGACCAGTCACCATTTCCGCCTATGGAGACAGCAATGGCATTCCCTCCTTCATTCAACGTGCCCTCTCTAATACTGGAATCGCTCTCAATCACGTCCCCGCCGGTATAGTAATAAACCTTCTTCTATTTTTGCTTCATTTGCTACGAATTAGTGGAATCAAGTTTAATAAGGGTCGTGTTAATCTTACTTTTCTTTTAAAACTTTTGTTGAAAATGATTTTCTTGACCAGAGGTCTATCGAAAATAGTTTCTTTACCCTTCAAAGGTTTTACATTGATAAGATCTGTGTACACCTACTCTCTTCTGAGAAATTTAATAGCTAGCTTAATCTTGTTTGGGATTTGTAGTTGTTGGTTACATCATTTTTTAGTGTTTGCAAGTCAAGTGCAAATTAACTCATTTAATTTTGTTTGATGAATTAATACAGGGGTTAAGGATGCTAGTGATAAGAAGATTTTAGTGGATATGCTATTTTGGGCAGTGGACAATCCTGCACCTGCCAATTATATGCTCATTTCAGGAAGCGCGGATTTCTCTTATGCCATTCATCAGTTACGGATGAGGAGATATAACATTCTTCTAGCACAACCTTTTAATAATGCTTCTCCTGCTCTTGCTGCTGCTGCAACGAATGTGTGGCAATGGACAACCCTTGCTGCTGGAAAATCTCAACGAGAACTTGCTTTTCGTAATACCAACACATTACGTCAATATTATATACCGATTCCAATTTCTAAACCTACATCAGCAAACCAACCTGCTTATTCCAATGCCAATGCTAATACTTCCAAAGCCCAAAGTTTATATAATCCTGGACGTTATTTTGATACTCCTAAAACTATTTACATACCTAAGAACTCGAATCAACTGACTACAACCAGCATGTCAGGTACGCCAGCTATAGTTGAAGAAGCTAGTAGCAGCAATTACCCACGCGCACCAGATGTTGCACCGGTGATGTTTGCACCACATCTTTTTTTCACGACTGATAGATCAGAGAAGCACAACAGTAAAATTGAAGAAGCAAGTAGCAGCTGTTGCCCACGCTCACCAACGGTTGAACAACATCTTTTGTTTGCAAAGTCTGATAGTTCAAATGTGAAATTAGGTCTTGGGCTTAACTCAGACTCCAAAAGATAGGTCAAAGGAAGGAGAATTACTCAAGCCTCCCATCTCATTAATCACCAATGTGACACACTCATAGTAATACAGAGAGAGGATTAGAAGTGTAAGAGAGAATATTTCATTTCTATACTTCGTGTATTGAATGATGTGTTGAATATGTGTATGTACACACAATTAGTTAACGGACTCTTTAACTTACTTTTGGAATAATTCTTCACTAACTACTTAACTTACTAATTTTAGCTAATGACTCATATCATCAATTACACAGTTATCCTCTAAGACATAGCTTTTAGCTAGTTTTGAGATCACTAATATTAACAAAATACCAAAAAAAAAAAAAAGGAGCTAAAAGATATGCAGTTTCAAAAGTGATTCATTCCTCTTAGAGATTTAGAGGGTGTTTGGATTGGCTTAAAAGTTGGTTAAATCTACTTTTAAAATAGTTTTGTTGCTAATTACAAATGTTATTTAATTACCTCACTATTTTTACTGAAATTTGCGAAAAACATTATTGAAGATCTATGAATAAAACACATGAGATAACCGTATATAAAGTCATTTTTTTCTATTCAAATTATATGTGTGAATCGAAAATCATTTCCTTCACCTTTTAGTATATCCTTATTCCTTATATGATCATTCCAAATGCAGATGCTCTGCGATGAGTATAGCTTTTATATGAATATACTTACACTGTTATAAAAATCTACGTTTCGATCATTTTTTAGGATGTATTTGAGTAAGGTATATTAAATGTATAAAATTAACCAAATGACATGGACCAATATCACAGCACTAAAGCTACTAAAAAATTCAATATTAAGTAAAAGATTATATTATTACGAAACAGACGAGGATTACGAAGACAGTTATCAACATTTTTTTTCCCGATTACATATGATTCTATTCTACACATTTTTTTTGGTTAGTTTTCACTATTCATCAAATGTTTTGAGCAACTTGATAAAAATATTTCTATTCTTAATTTGATCATCCGTTCAATTGTTTTCATAATACGGTAAAACCTCATGAAATTGATATAAGTGAGACCATGAAATATTATTATTCTGTAGAAATATTATTTAATCAATAAATTAATATTATTAATTTAAAGAGTACTTTGAGATTCAATGAAGGTTAATTTTGATTATATTAGAATCATTGTATCTTACTAATTTATGTATCATAATTATTGAATTCACATAAAAATAAATTCATTATACGCAAAGTACAATGAATATATCAAAATCATTGTATCTTCCTAAATTGTGATTTATTGAATTCATATAAAAATAAATTCATTATACATAAAGTATGATATATGTGTATGTTCATTGTAATATATTTTTTTGTTAAATGATTCATTGTAAAATAAATTCATCATGTATAATGTTCATTGTTTCTTAATAATAAAATATTATTCATAGTATATTTACTAAAGACATTCAATGAATGATGGTGAGAGAATAAACTATATAAGCAATAAAATCATATTTCAATAAGTTGTCTTAGATATATTTGTACTTTTATAGAATTATTAATTTATAATATTAATGGAACCATATATTTATACATTATCTTATCTAAGTTGAAACGGGAGGAAAATATTATGTTAGAGAAATCATTAATTTAGTGAGGTATTATAATACCATTATTTATATTTTTGCCTTATCAGATTCAGGGATTAACAATGTTTGAATTAGTTAAGTTGCATGCGACTGTTTTGACAATATAAATGAATTTTAAGCTAAACATTCAATAGTTATTTGTGGAAACATATCTAATTGCAAGTCAATTCAAACTAATCCCAAAAGGAAATAGATTTACTAGATTTCTTAAACAGAAATGGGAAAAACAAGGAAATTGATTTATTATATTTCCGAAAGAGAAATGGGAAAAAAAAGGAAATTGATTGAAATTATTCAATAGATTTCCCAAAAGAGAAATGGTGAAAGTATATTTAAATGTTCACCAATAACATGAGATTACCATCAACTTTAGCTACTAATTAAGATTAAGATTATCGTTTGATTGATAACCTACTCTCTACTCTTTACTCTTTAGTCGATTTTTTTCCCTCTCGTTTCTTCAAAAACATGGAAAGCGCGCAGCTCAAAAAAGTGATAGCGGGAGCAGTTCAAATTCAGCCTCTGCAAGTGTCAAGAGCGATGGCCGGAGACGGATTGATGCCGGGTTTTTCCCGCGGAACAACGGCAAAATCGCCGTATGCGGCAGCAAAAACGTCGGTGTGGTGGGATATAGAAAATTGTCAGGTGCCCAGGGGATGTGACGCCCATGGAATCGCTCAGAGTATAAACGCGGCATTGATGAAGATGAACTATCATGGACCAGTCACCATTTCCGCCTATGGTGACACCAATATCATTCCCTCGTCCATTCAAGGAGCCCTCTCTACTACTGGAATCAGCCTCAATCACGTCCCAGCCGGTATAGTAACAATCAGTCTTTTAAATTGAGTTAGTTTAAATTGGTAGTTGTTAGTTACCTCATTCTTTAGTGCAAATTCATTCATTAATTTTGTTTGATAAATTACAGTGACTAAGGATGCTAGTGATAAGAAAATTTTGGTGGATATGATATTTTGGGCAGTGGATAATCCTGCACCTGCCAATTATTTGCTCATTTCAGGAGATGGGGATTTCTCCAATGCCATTCATCAGTTGCGGATGAGGAAATATAATATTCTTCTAGCACAACCTGTTTATGCTTCTCCTGCTCTTGCTGTGGCTGCCACAAATGTGTGGCAATGGACAAGCCTTGCTGCTGGAGGATCTCCACGAGGACTTCCTTTTCGTACCAATACATTACCTCAAAATTATATACCAACTCCAATTTCTAAACCTATATCAGCGAACCAACCTGCTTATTCCAATACCAATACCAATGCTAATGCTTCTAGGGCCCAAAGTTTATCTAATCCTGGATGCTATTTTGATACAAAAACTAAAGCTATTTATGTAACTAAGAACTCCAATCAACTGACTATGACCGGCATGTCAAGTAGACCAGCTATAGTTGAAGAAACTAGTAGCAGCTATTGCCCACGCGCACCAGTGCAGTTTGTACCACATCTCTTTTTCACAAAGTCTGATAGTTCAGAGAACCACAACAGTAAATTCATAGAAAATAAGCCTGCTCAGCGTACTCAACTCCAACCTTTTCTCGTTCCAGATAACTTTGTGAAATTGAACTCTTGCCAGGACAATTTGCGACCTCCTCTTCAACGACCTGAAGGTTCTGCTGATTTCTCTACACCATTTGTACATAATCATGACGCTGGCATGGGTAATTTAAGCCCCATAAACTTATATTACACTCCTAATTTTTTATTGACAAAATAGGGAAGTATTGTGACCGAAACAGAAGTTTACTAAGCCAGTTAGTTTCTTGAGGCAACTAATGGTGGTAATTTTCTTGCAGGTAGGGGTGATTTATGTGGTTCTATGAACAAGGGTGATATACGTCCTGAGTTTTCCTTCCTTCCACCCTCATCGGGTGTTTCTAAATCTGTCTGTGGTAATTTAGATTTGGATCTCCAGCTGCCTGAACACATTCAAAGTCTTATAAGGGTCATATTTAATTCGTTGAACACTTTGAGGTTCGAGAAGATTTTGCCTACCAAAGAAAACCTTGGTTATTGTATATGTTATAGTAACCCTGAATATCGTCATACTGATGTTACAGTAGCCTTAAATACTGCACTAGAGCAACAGATGATACTAAAATTAGGACTAGTTAATTTTGAGCTATATGTTGGTAGGACTGCAAGGATTTGGAAATGTGTGAATCCACTTGGTGGCAATCCTAACCATTATAAGGATGCAACTTGGAATGCGATTGAGGAATTTCTTTGTTCAACTGTTGGACATTCAACGATAGCAGCATCTGAATGCAGGTAAACAATTTATGCTGCATGGTTTTTAATGATTCTCAGAGTTTTTTCTCATCTTCTGTCTGCCTTGCAGGTATGAAGCCGCTTTGATTCTTAGAAATGCATGCCTCAAAAGCCTCACATTGGCTGAAGTACTTCAAATCCTGAATATGATTATCACTCTGAAGGGTTGGATCAAAACTCACTCTGAGTGGCAACCAATTACTATCACTCTTCCAACAACTAATAATGATAAGGATACCAGAACAGGTACCTAGTTGAGAGATCTCTTTCAGTAGTTTACCATGTCATATTCATGACATATGTTTTCAGAAATGGATCAGATATCTTGGAGTTACGGATTTTAAAATAAACTCATTTTCATATAAGACTGTATGCTCAGTGCCAACTTGACGAGGACATATATAGGAGCGAGATCTCTTTTACTTTTGTGGACTTCTTATGTATGTTTTGTATATATTTGATTCACAATCTTCAAGAATGTATAGAGGAAAATTGTATTCATCCCTACTACGTCAAAAAAGTAATATATAAATTTGTCTTTTGGCCAGAAACACAATCAACTCTACGTGGACTTCTCTTTTAATTTGCTCACATTATTGTTAGTAGGTGTACCAACTATGATTGTTAAAGTAGCTTCCACATAAATAGCTATGTGAATTTTCCCAACCTGAAATGTGTCATACCAGGAAAAAATAGCTGAAAGGTGAAAACTATTGATTTAGACGTAAAAATATTGAGTTCAATTTGCTTTTGTGTTTTTTAAAGTCAGATCTTCAGTCTGAGATAAAAAATTTAAAAAGAAACAAATTGTTTCATAACGGATTAGAATGTTAATACATGAACACAGAGGGGTGTTTGATAGTTGGGTAAGAAGTGAATTATTCATGTATTAAAATCAACATAACTAGTACCATGTTAGGTAATTTTTTAATTACTATGTATAAAATTCATCACACGAAGTACAGTGTTTGGTTATAATTACCAATTACAATCCCACATAGTTATTGGAGTCTCATGCAAGTGCCTCCATACTGTTTCTTGCAAGTGCCTTCGTACTGTTTCTTGGGGTTACTTATGATCACATGTTTCAACGTGCAACTTTATCTTTCTCTTTGTCCCGTGTATTCTGGAGAAGCCTGAGATCGAAGTCTCACAAATTCAATTCAACTTCTGGAATTTCTTTTAAAATGCCCTTTGTGCTTTTGCTCCGAATTTTCAATTTTCTTAGTGAGTGGTAGAACGGGTGCTGTAACCATTTAAGTTGCCGGTGTATTGAAAAATTGGATACTTATTGCCCTTTCAACTCTTATTGTCACAGAGTCGATATTGTAGGTTATGCCGTTGGTAATCTTAATATTTCCTCCTATTTATGTCCTATGAGAGCTTTATGCCATCAAACATCTTACTAAAATATTTCTGTTTTTGTGCAGCATTATGTGGTGTTGTGATGTAGTAAATATATTACTACTTGAAGATTAAGGATGTTCGAGCTGTTCAACATCCTATAGATAGGAATAGCTAAGGTCTGATCTAATGACTTTCAAGTTTCGATTTCAGAATTTGCATTTTTATTTTTGAGTTTGTGTTTTTAATTCTTTATTCATCACTTCCTTCTTTTTTCTTTTTTTCAATTTTCCCCAAAAGGAACATATGCTTATGATGATCCATGTTTGTTTTATTCCGTTGGAAGCCCCAGTGTCCAAATATGACAAGCTTTCTAGCGTGACTAGAAAAGAGTTACCTAATAAAGGGAACACGGGATAAGACAGGAGCTCGAGAACAAGCTAAACAGTTAATCAGTAGTTATTCGTTTCAACATAATTTATGCATATCTCTGTTGATCATGGAATCTTATCTTGCATGCAAAAAAATATAAAACTTCTAGTACAAATGGGTTTTTATTGCAAGCAGTTCTGCACTTTGCCTCTGACAGGAGCTTAAGATGGAGAAGAAGTCATCCGATCTGTTTGATTAACAGGGGTTAATGATGCTTGGGATAAGACAGTTTTGGTGGATATGCTATTTTGGGCAACGGACAATCCTGCACCTGCCAATTATTTGCTCATTTCAGGAGACGGATTTCTCCAATGCCATTGATCAGTTACGGATTAGTAGATATAATATTATTCTAGCACAACCTTTTAAAGTTTCTCCTGCTCTTGCTGCTGGTGCCACGAATGTGTGGCAGTGGACAATCCTTGCTGCTGGAGGATCTCCATGAGAACTTGCTTTTGGTTCTAACACATTATGTCAAGAATCTATACCAACTCCAGTTTCTGAACCTTTATAGCGAACCAACCTGTTTATTCCAATGCCCATGCCATGTACCAATACCAATGTTAATGCTTCCGGGCTCTAAGCTTATCTAATCCTGGATGCTATTTGATACTAGTTAAGTGAAAACAAGTTGATTTTGAGCTATATGTTGGTAGAACTGAGAGGATTTTGAATTGTGAGAATCCAATTGATGGCAAGCCTAACAAGTATCAGGATGCAACTTGGAATGTTATTGAGAAATTCCTTTGTTCAACTGTTGGACGTTCAGCAATAGCAGCATCTGAATGCAGGTGAACAATTTATGCTGCATGGTTTTTAATGATTCTCAAGAGTTTTTTCTCATGTTCTGTCTACCTTCCAAGTATGAAGTCGCTTTGATTATTAGAAACGCATGCCTTAAAGACCTTACATTGGGTGTAGTAATTCAAATCCTGAATATGATTTTCACTCTGGAAGTGTTGGATTAAAACTCATTCCGACTGACAACCAATTATTGTCACTCTTCGAGAAACTAATAATGATAAGGATACCAGAATAGGTACCTAGTTGAGAGATCTCTTTCAGTATTTTACTCTGAAGTGTTGGATTTAAACTCACTCTGATTTCGACTAGCATTTTATAAGTGGACATAGAAGATATCTCTTTCTTCCAAATGCTCCGCTACTGTTCTAAATATAGTAAGGAAGGAATGTATGTTTTTATTTTATATTAAGCATTAAAATTTCTTTACTTAAGTAATTTGAAAAGAATTTTTCAGTTCTCCTAAAAATCCCCTTTTCCATTATTTTCTAAGAAGGCCGACTATTAAGGTATATATGTTGAATGTATTAACTTCAGTTGCATAGACCAAGTGACATGGAAAAATATAGCACAAGAAAGTTAATAAACAAAATCATTTCTAAGTAAAAAATTGACACAATAAAATCAAAGTGATGATTCATATGCGTATCCAATGTATTGATAAAAATATAACGCAAATGAAAACTATTTGACCGGACATGAGGCATGCATAAAAAAATTGTTGTCTTTTCTTAATATGTCAAAAATGTTAAATAAAAATGAAAAATCTATATTTTAGGAATAAGTGACAAGTAAAAGTGAACGGAGAGTAAATGATTTAATTGTTTGACAAAATAAATAAATCTTAAGCTAAACTTTCAAAAGTTATTTGTGGAAACATATCTAATTGCAAGTCAGTTCAAACTAATCCCCAAAATGAAAATAAATTTCTCAATCAGAAATGGGAAAAAAAGGAAATCGAGTTAAGAGATTTCCACGAGAGAAATGGGATGAAAATTGATTTAATATATTTCCAAAAGAGAAATGGAAAAAATGGAAATTGATTTAATAGATTTCTCAAAGAAAAAATGGAGAAAAGATTTAAGGGTTCACCAATAATATAAAAGTTGAGATAATCCATCGGAGCTACTAATATTATCGTTTTAATCTATAACCTTGCTCTGTAGTCCTTTATTCGTCTTGTTTTTTTTAAAAAAGATGGAAAACGCGCAGTACAAAATAGTGAAAGTGGGAGCAGTTCAAATCAGGCTGTGCAAGTGCCAAGTGCAATGGCCGGAGAGGGATTGAAGCCGGGTTTTCCCGGTGGAGCAGTGGCGGGACCGCAATATGCAGCAGCAAAAACGTCGGTGTGGTGGGATATAGAAAATTGTCAGGTACCCAGGTGATGAGACGCCCATGGAATAGCTCAGAATATAAACACGACATTAATGAATATGAACTATCATGGACCAGTCACCATTTCTGCCTATGGAGACAACAATGTCATTCCCTCCTTCATACAACGAGCCCTCTCTAATACTGGAATCGGTCTCAATCACGTCCCGGCCTGTACAGAAACAAACCTTCTTCTATGTTTGCTTCATTTGCTGCACGCATGAGAAAGATTCTTTATAAGTTTAATGTTTTCATCTTGCTTTTCTTTTAAGACTTTTGTTGAAAATGATTTTCTTTAGTAGAGGTTTATCGAAAATAGTCTCTCCACCCTTCAAAGGTTTTAAATGGTTATAAGCAGGTTAAGGTCGGCATAATCCACGCTCTCTTCTTAGAAAAGATGGGTTTTAAAAGGTATGAATGGAAAATGAAGAGTTGCGATTTTTATGAAACGTTGCAATTTTTATGAAGAGTTGTGATTTTTATGAAAAGTTGTGATTTTTATGAAAAGTTGTGACTTTTATGAATGATTGTAACATTTTTGAAAGATTGCGACTTTTTCAAAGGGTTGTGACTTTTCACACTACCATTTGTTTTCTATATATTGAGGGATTTCCTTTCATCTTAAAAGAAAAACAATTTTCTAGACTTCTTCTACTACTACTAAATCTAGTATAGTATCCTAAGTGTATTTTACTGTCGTTGAGTGGTTCGCTAACACTGTAGTTTTAGGTACCGATACACCGATGAGTAAGATCGTTCTATCCTGGGAGGATATATTCCATTAACCTCGGGCACTTGAGGGAAATATTATCCTTAAGGGGAAATTGTGCATCCAGTGGGCTCAATTTTCTTTTTTAAGAAAAATATTTTGTATATTGTTTCTAATTTGTTTCTGTTTTATTTTCTCTACTGGTTTTATTTTTTGGTTCTTATCAAGTTTTTCAAAGTTATTGTTTTAATTATCTTAGGAAAATAGGATGGACAACAATCTTAAGCAAATTCATTTAATTTTGTTTGATGAATTACAGGGGTTAAGGATGCTAGTGATAAGAAGATTTTAGTGGATATGCTATTTTGGGTAGTGGACAATCCTGCACCTGCCAATTATTTGCTCATTTCAGGAAGCACTGACTTCTCGTATGTCATTCATCAGTTACAGATGAGGAGATATAACATTCTTCTAGCACAACCTTTTAATAATACTTCTCCTGCTCTTGCTGCTGCTGCAACGAATGTGTGGCAATGGACAACCCTTGCTGCTGGAGGTTATCCATGAGAACTTGCTTTTCGTACTAACACATTACGTCGAGAATATATACGGACTCCAATTTTTGAACTTATACCTGCAGTAAACCAATCTGCTTATTCCAATGCCAATGCTATGCTTCTGGGGTCCAAAATTTATATAATCCCAGACGCTATTTTGATACAAAAACTAAAGCTATTTACGTGCCTAAGAACTCGAATCAACTGACTATGACCAACATGTTAAGTACGCCAGCTATAGTTAAAGAAACTAGTAGTAGTTATTGCCCTTGCGCACCAGTGCAGTTTGTACCACATCTCTTTTTCACGAAGTCTGATAGTTCACAGAAGCACAACAGTAGAATTGAAGAAACAAGTAGCAGCTATTCCCCACACACACCAACTGTTGCACCAATTCACTTTGCACCACATCAATTTTTTGTGAGGTCTCTAATAGTTCAGATATTAAATTAGGTCTTGGGCCTAACTCATACCCTAAAAGTTAGCTCAAAGAGAGGAAGATTACTCAAGCCTTGTAAAGAGACCATCTATCTAATTAACCATCAATGTGAGACTTTCTTTCATTCTTCAACGCCCCACCTTAGGCCCAGAGCTGGACATTTGGAGCCCAGCATTGGGTGAGAACCGTGTAGTTTTAGAAGATTTAGTGAGTTAGAAGAAGAGAATGTGAGTTCTCGATGATTAGAAGTGGAAGAGAGAATATCTCATTTCTATATTTCGTGTATTGAATAATGTGTACAAGATAACTCAAACAAGAGCAAGATTTAAGATACTCAGAGTTTCATTGAATCCCATTAAATGTGTGCGATTTTTCCAACATAACGATTGAAACATGTGAGAATCATGGAAACAATTATCTAACATATTATTTTATAAATTCCTCAACCTGCCCACTAATGTATATATCAGAATTCACCAGATTTTTAAAAATATTTATTTTTAATCCTCTTTAGGAGCTCATATTCTTTTTGTTTTCTTTATTACTCAAATTTATAAACTTTTGATTGGAAGTGGAGGATGTTTACCATCTGAATAACTTCTTTTTGTCTCAAAATTCAATTGATTACATATGACTCTACACATATTTTCTGTTAGTTTTCACCGTTCATCAAGTGTTTCGAGCAAATCAATAAAAAATTTATATTCTCGATTTGATCATCTATTCAATTATTTTCCTAATACCATTATTTCTACATTTGCCTTATCAAGGGTTAACAATATTTGAATTAGTAACTTTGCATGTGACTTGATTATTATATAATTGGGATAAGGCATAAGTACTCCTAGACTATGACTGAAATCTCAGAGACACACCTAAACTTAACTAAGATCCTATTACCCCTAACTCATTTTTTGCATATTTATGTGCACCTTTTGTGCTGATGTGGCACCTTCAGCCACCCAAGTTTGTTGTGTTTGTACACACTCGCCCTCCATGTGTGTAAATATTATTTTTTAATTAAAATTATTATTTTTTAAAATAAAAATTTTAAATTTAAAAAAATTAAGAATTTTTTAATCTTGTATTTAAATTAAGTTAATACACATTTTTTTTTACCTTGTATTGAAACTATTTTTTTTTTATTTACATTCATTGTTTTTTCTCTTTTATTTTTCTAGTGAGTTTATTTTCTTTGTCTTTCGTTTTAATTTGATTTAAAATAAGTTAACTTTGAACGAATATCAAAATAAGTGTAGAAATCAAATAAAACATAAATATATTAAAACAATAAAATTAAAGGACACTTTAAAATTGTTTTTTTATAAAATACACATAATTTATTAAAAATAATTAAAAGTTAAAAGATAATAAATTAATTTTTAAAAATAAAGTGAAAAGAAAATTATAATAAATATTTTACAAAGAAGGAAATGTATGGCAATGGACAAGCCTTGCTGCTGGAACATCTCCACCAGAATTTGCTTTTAGTACCAATACATTACGTCAAAATTATATATCTACTCCAATTTCTAAACCTATATCAGCGAACCAACCTGCTTTTTCCAATGCCCATGCCAAAACCAATACCAATGCTAATGCTTCCGGGGCCCAAAGTTTATCCAATCCTGGATGCTATTCTGATACAAAAACTAAGGCTATTTACATACCTAAGAACTCGAATCAACTGACTATGACTAGCATGTCAGGTACGCCAACTAAAGTTGAAGAAACTAGTAGCAGCTATTGCCCACACGCACCAGCTGTTGCACCAGTCCAGTTTTTACCACATCTCTTTTTCACAAAGTCTGATGGTTCAGAGAACCATAGCAGTTAATTCATAGAAAATAAGCCTGCTCAACATACTCAATCCCAACCTCCTCTTGTTCCAGATAACTTTGTGAAACTGAACTCTCGCCCCGGACAATTTGCAACCCCCACTTCAAGGACTTGAAGGGTTGGATCAAAACTCACTTTATCACTCTGAAGGGTTGGATCATCAAAACTCACTTTGAGTGGCAACCAATTACTATTACTCTTCCAGGAACTAATAATGATAAGGATACCAGAACAGGTACCTAGTTGAGAGGTTCAATATTTTATATGGATCAGATATCTTGGAGTAACAGCTTTTAAAAGAAGCTCAATTTCATATAAGACAATACATTCTGTGCCAACTTGATTACGGCATATATAGGACGAGATTTTTTTTACTTTTGTAGACTTCTTATGTATGTTTTGTATATACATTTGATTTACGATCTTCAAGAATGTATAGGGGAAATTGTATCCATCCCTGCTACATAAAAAAAAAATATATATATAAATTCGTCTTTTGGCCAGAACATGATCAACTCTCCATGGACTTCTTTTTTAATTTGCTCACATTATTGTTAGTAGGTGTACCAATTAATGTTAAAGTAACTGTCAGATGAATCGTCCCAGGCTGAAATGTGTCATACCATGAAAAAATAGCTGAAAGGTGAAAAGTATTGGATTAGACGCAAAATTATTGAGTTCTATGTGCTTTTGTGTTTTTTAAAGTTGGATCTTCCGTCTGAGATAAAAGATTTAAAAAAGAAACAAATTGTTGCATAACGGATTTGAACATTAATAAGTGAATTATTCCTGTACCATCTTTGGTTATATTTTAATTACTATGTACATAATTCATCACAAGAAGTACAGTGTTTAGTTATAATTACCAATTACAATCCCACATTATTAATGGAATCTCATGCAAGTTCCTCCATACTGTTTTTTGCAAGAGCCTTCGTACTGTTTCTTGGGGTTACTTATGATCACATATTTCAGCTTTATCTTTCTATTTTTCCCGTGGTATTTTCTGGAGAAGCCTAGGATGGAAGTCTCACAAATTCAATTCAACTTCTGGAATTTCTTTTCAAATGCACTTTGTGCTCTTGTTCTGAATTTCTCAATTTTCTTAGTGAGTGGTAGAACCGGTGTTGTAACCATTTAAGTTGCCGGTGTATTGAAAGTGTGGATACTTATTGCCCTTTCAACTCTAATTGTCCCAGAGTCGACAATAAGCACCCTTAATAGTGTAGGTTATGCCATTGGTAAGCTTAATATTTCCTCTTATTTATGGGAGCTTTAGTTTTGCCATCAAACATCTTACTAAAATATTTCTGTTTTTGTGTAGCATTATGTGGTGTTGTGATGTATAACTACTTGAAGATCAAGGATGTTCGAGTTGTTCAACTTCTTGTAGATAGTGTTTCTGATCGAAGAGCTAAGGTCTGATCTAATTACTTTCAAGAATTTGCATCTTCTTTTTTTTGTTCTTAATTCATTATTCATCACTTCCTTTTTTCTTTTATTTTTTTCAATTCTCCCCAAAAGGAACATCTGCATAAGATGATCCATGCTTCTTTTATTCCTTTGGAAGCCCCAGTTTCCAAATATGAAAATCATTATAGCTTATCTAGAAAAGAGTTACCTAATAAAAGGAAGACGGGATAAGACATGAGCTCGAGAATAAGCTAAACAATTAATCAACAGTTATTCGTTTTAACATAATTTGAGATTGCATGGTTGCTTAATTATGCATCTCTCGGTTCAGCATGGAATCCTATCTTGCATTAAAAAAAGATTAAGAAATTCTAGTAAAGATAGGTTTTATTGCAAGCATGCCTTTTGGCACTTTGCCTCTGACATGAACTTAAGATGGAGAAGAAGTCATCCGATCTGTTTGATGAACAGGGATTAATTAAGGATGCTAGTGATAAAGATAATTTTGGTGGATATGCTATTTTGGGCAGCGGACAATCCTGCACCTGCCAATTATTTGCTCATTTCAGGAGATGGGGATTTCTCTGATGCCATTCATCAGTTACAGATGAGGAGATATAATATTCTTCTAGCACAACCTTTTAATATAAGATTTTCCTGCTCTTGCTGCTGTTGCCACAAATGTGTGGCAGCGGACAAGCCTTGCTGCTGGAGGATGTCCACGAGAATTTGCTTTTGGTACTAACACATTACGTCAAGAATCTAAACTTAATCCAATTTCTGAACATTTATCAGCAAACCTAGCTACCTGCTTTTTCCAATGCCCATGCAAATACCAATATCAACGCTAATGCTTCCGGGGCCAAAGCTTATCTAATCCTGGATGCTAATTTGACACTAAAACTAAAGCTATTTCGCAAAGTCTGATAGTTCAGAGAACCACAACAGTAAATTCATTGAGAGTAAGCCTACTCAGTATACTCAATCCCAAAACCCCTCTTGTTCGAGATAGCTTTGTGAAATTGAACTCTCACCAGAACAATATGCAACTTCCGCTTCAATGAATTGAAGGTTCTGCTGATTTTTCTACACCATTTGTACATCATCCTAATGCTGGCACGGGTAATTTATCTGATAGCCCCATAAACTTGTATTACACTCCTAAATTTAGATTGACAAAATAGCCTTAAATACCGTTGTTTGCAACAAACTTTAAACATATGAAAAATTAATCAACTACACAAATAAAATCTGAAGAAATATGAACATTTTATTGATAATAGTGCGGGTACAATTTTGTTCATTCCTTGATTCTACTCTCCTAAGATTTATTCATGATATTTATCCATGATTCGAGAGTCGTTAGTGGCGTATTTCTCGAATTAGGATGATTTAGATTTGACCGTTCAGTATCCTCCGAGAATTCTACTTGAAACTGAACACACCTTCTAGAGTCTCAATTCAAATTGAACACGTCTTGTAAAGTCCCATAAAATTTCAACGCCTACAACTGCACTTGAGCAACAGATGATATTAAAGTCCCACAAAATTTCAATGTCTTATACATGATTAACAACATTTGAAGTATTTGCGTTGCATGTGACATAATTTTTAAATAATTTAACTGGTTGACAAAATAAACAAATTTTAAGCTAAATATTCAACAATTAATTGTGTAAACATAATCTAATTGCAAGTAAATTCAAACTAATCCTGAAAAGGAAAATGATTTAAAAGATTTCTCATAGAGAAATAGGGAAAAAAGGAAATTGATTTAATAGATTTCCCAGGAAAATGGAACTTGATTTAATAGAATTCCAAAGAGAAATAAGAAAGAAAATAAATAGTGCTTTGTTGTCTGTATAGTGTTTTCAACAAGTTAAAAAGCGCGCAGTCCGAGAAAGTTCAAATTGTGCCAAGTGCGAAGTGATACCGAAAAGTTTTTTGTTAAAAATCAGGTTAATGGCAGCAGAGTGAGAGAGAACCTTCGCGGCGTTATAGTCGATGGCCGGAGACGGGTTGAAGGCGGGTCTTCCTGGCGGAAAAGCGGCGGAACCGCAGTACGAGACGGCAAAAACATCGGTGTGGTGGGATATAGAGAATTGTCAGGTGCCCAGGGGATGCGACGCTCATGCAATCGCTCCGAATATAAACGCGGCATTGATGAAGATGAACTATAATGGACCAGTCACTATTTCCGCCTATGGAGACACTAATCGTATTCCCTCGTACATTCAACGAGCCCTTTCTAGTACTGGAATCAGTCTCAATCACGTCCCGGCCGGTACACTAACAAACCTTCTTCTATTTCCTTCAACTTTTTTATTTGTTCAATATAATTTTCTTGAGTATAGAGGGGTTTTCAAAGGTTTTACGTCTGCTACACCCCGCCCTCCCCCTTCTCTAAGAAATTTAGTAGCTAGCCCTAACAGCTTAATCTTGCTTTTCTTTGAAACCTTTGGTGAAAATGATTTTCTCGATCGATCAATGGGGTCTATTGAAAACAATCTCTTTACCCGTTATAGATTTTACAGACACCAGACTCCCCCTCTGAGAAATTTAATAGCTAGCCCTAACAGCTTAATCTTTGTTGGGATTGGAAATTGTTGGTGACATCATCATTTAGTGATTGCACGCCCAGTGCAAATTATTAGAATTAATGTTTCAATTAATTTTGAAACAGTTCATCAGATAAAAGTTCTCGGTTTCCAAAGTTAATGAATATGAACTTTTAATAATTCCTTCTTCATTTAGTTTTTATGTTTTAGGATTAGGTTCTTGGAAGATATATGTTTATATTTATAATATTCATGAACCTATTAATAACTCTTACTTAATGGAAACTTTTTTCTTTCAAGAACTTTTATCCTTTACTAATTAAATTCATGCATTTAATTTGTCTGATTAACAGGGGCTAAGGATGCTAGTGATAAGAAAATTTTGGTGGATATGCTATTTTGGGCAGTGGACAATCCTGCACCTGCCAATTATTTGCTTATTTCAGGAGACAGGGATTTCTCCAATGCCATTCATCAGTTACGGATGAGGAGATATAATATTCTTCTAGCACAACCTTTAAAGGCTTCTCCTGCTCTTGCTGCTGCTGCCACAAATGTGTGGCAATGGATAAGCCTTACTGCTGGAGGATCTCCACGAGAACTTGCTTTTGGTACTAACACATTACGTCAAGAATCTATACCGACTCCAGTTTCTGAACCTATATCGGCAAACCAACCTGCTTATTCCAATGCCAATGCCAATACTAATACCAATACCAATACCAATATCAATACCAATATCAATACCAATACCAATACCAATACCCATGCTAATACCAATGCCAATGCCAATGCCAATACCCATGCTAATGCTTCCGGGACCCAAAGTTTACCTAATCCTGGAGGCACTTTTGATACCAAAACTAAAGCTATTTACGTACCAAAGAACTCGAATCAACTGACTATGACCGGCATGTCAAGTATGCCAGCTAGAATTAAAGAAACTAGTAGCAGCTATTGCCCACACGCACCAGCTGTTGCACCAGTGCAGTTTGCACCACATAAATTTTTCGCAAAGTCTGATAGTTCAGAGAACCATAACAGTAAATTCATAGAAAACAAGCCAGCTCAGTGTACTCAATCTCAGCCTCCTCTTGTTCGAGATAACTTTGTGAAATTGAACTTTCGCCAGAAGAATTTGCAACCTCCGCTTCAACTACCTGAAGGTTCTGCTGATTTTTCTCACCATTTGAACATCATCCTAATCCTGGGATGCATAATTTGTCTGATAAACCCATAAACTTGTATTACACTCCTAATTTTACATTGACAAAATTGGGAAGTATTGTTACCGAAGTTGAAGTTTACTAAGCCATATAGTTTTCTTGAGACAACTAATGGTGGTAATTTTCTTGCAGGTAGGGGTGATTTATGTGGGTCTATGAACAAGGGTGATGTACGTCCTGAGTTTTCCTTCCTTCCATCCTCATCGGGTGCTTCTAAATCTGTCGGTAGTTATTCAGATTTGGATCTCCAGCTGCCTGAACTCATTCAAGGTTTTATAGGGGTCATCCTTCTTTCGTTGAACAGTTTGAAGCTCGAGAAGATTGTGCCTACCAAAGAAAACATTGGTTATTGTATACGTTATGGTAACCCTAAATATCATCATATTGATGTCACAGTAGCGTTAAATGCTGCACTAGAGCAACAGATGATAGTAAAGTTAAAACAAGCTGATTTTGAGCTGTATGTTGGTAGAACTGAGAGGATTTGGAAATGTGAGAATCCACTTGGTGGCAATCCTAACCAATATCAGAATGCAACTTGGAATGTGATTGAGAAATTTCTTTGTTCAACTGTTGGACGTTCAGCAATAGCAGCATCTGAATGCAGGTAAACAATTTGTGCTGCATTGTTTTTAATGATATTCTCAGAGTTTTTTCTCATGTTTTGTCTGCCTTCCAGGTATGAAGCCTCTTTGATTCTTAGAAATGCATGCCTTAAAGACCTTACATTGGGTGAAGTACTTCAAATCCTGAATATGATTATCACTCTGAAGCGTTGGATTAAAACTCGCTCTGATTGGCATCCGATTACTATTACTCTTCCAGAAACTAATAATGATAAGGATACCAGAACACGTAACTAGCCGAGAGATCTCTTTCAGTTTTTTAGCATGTCATAGCCATGACATGTTTTCAGAAATGGATTCGATATCTTGGAGTTGCAGATTTTATAAGAAGCTTAATTTTGTATAAGATGGTATGTTCAGTGCTTACTTGATGACGGCATAGGAGCGAGATCTTTTTTACTTTTGTGGACCTCTTTTCAAGACACTTGCAGCTGATAAAGTGGGCAGCTAAAGGGATGCGATTGTTATCATGCTTCTATCGACCTAGCTATGCTGATGGATCTCGTAATCTTTCATTACAGCAGCATGGTTGCTGCTATCTTCGATTTCTTTATCTTAAAATTTCCGTTTCGCTGGAAATTTTGTTTACATCAGAAAGTCTACTACTGCTTTCACATTACTAGGATTTGGAGCATCCAGGAATATGCAGAATGTATTTCGGTTACCCTGGTGAGTTGAGAACTGGCCAGAAGCACAAAGGTTGGGTTGCAGGTTGACAGGAATATTTTGTAGTCACTGTTCTTCTAGCTAGATTATAAATATAGAATAGTGGTTTAGAATACAGATCCAGTAACCTTGTTTTTTAAGCTTTGTCAAATGGAATATGTAGATTTACTTCACAGGCTTTTTTGATAACCTCGTCCTTTCGCCTATTCTTTTTGTTTCTTGGAGCTTATGACTATAAAGTACTTTTGTTGATAACAGTATATGTAGCTTAACTTGGCAGGCACTTGCATTTGTTTTCATATAGTGCCTCCCCTTCCTCTAATTCTGTCTCATTTTTTACTAGCTAGTAGTTTGTCGGGGGTGATCATGTCTGTTGGATGGTATCTGTTTCAGCTATCATCCTGGATAAACTACTGGGTTAAGATGTTTCTGTAAGTTATTTGTACTAAACTTATTTAAGGACTATTTCATTAATGTTCTTCACCCGTGTAATATATGTAACACCGAATGCCCTCTCATGTATTTCACATGGCAAAAGAAAATTTACAATTTATGGTGAAGACAGGCGTTCTAACTTCTAGGAGTCGTCCTTGATCAAAGACCAAATGAATTAGTATTTCTTGTGTACATACATACAATGGACAAGGATGAAGCCTATGTTAACAACATCGAGGCCAGCAAGAGAAACAAGAAAACCAACTAGTCGCTCCCAGTTTAGGCAGTGACTCCGGTTGTTTTGACTCTGACTTCGAGTATGGCTGTGATTGTTGCGGTGATTGAGGCTGCATTTCTGGTTGTGAATCTGGTTCATACTTGGGTTGAGGTTGTGGTTGTGGTTGTGGCTGTTGCTGTGGCTGATGCTGATGCTGATGCTGAGGCTGAGGTTGAGGTCTCTCCATTTTCGCAGAGGGAGCTTTGAGTGAGCCAGTTTTCCCAGCATCGTTTAGTAGCCTGCAACAAACCAAAAGCGATTATAAACAATCCAACTGTATATCATGCATGGAACAAACTACTAGTAGAGCAGACTTCACCCAACAAAAACAAGAAAGAAGATGATACTAAAACTTATACAAGTTTGTTTAAAGAAAGCTAACTGTGTTATTTGATATTTTGACACTTTTTGATATCTATTCACAAAACCAGGAATGCTAACCCTTATACCTTGTAATACAATACAGAACCAAAATATATATGAATCATCAAGCAAGTAAATGCATGGACCTTGAAAGAGATTAACTTGTGCAGCATATCCAGTGTAATCCCACAAGTGGAAAAGCAAACCAGAACATAAAGAAGGAAAAACCATAGTGCATTGTATATGGTAGTTGCGAAAAGGAGATCTTACAGTGGAAAAGCAAAGGAGCTGCTGCTGTTTCCACTCTCATTGGAGAGGCGGGGCGAGGAAGCATAACTTGCCTCAAACTGAGGAACGGCTTTACCATCTGACTTGTTGAGCGTTGAGGCAGAATGTAGAAATTCATCTGACTTGTTGAGCGCTGAGGGAGAATGTTGAACTTCATCGACATTAGATGTCTTCTTCACTTTGATGTTATTTTCATGATTCTCCTCTGGGACTATTTTGGGAGATTCAACAATCTTTTCTTGCTTACGAGGACTCTCCATTATAGTTTCACTCTTTACCTCTTTATCTGTTGCCATTTCGACAAGAGGAGGAAGGTTAGGAGGCACGTTTTTCTTGTCATTGGATTTAACATCAGGTGCATTATACGGAGAATTACTCCATTCCTCCGGTTTTATAAGTTCTCCAGATCGATACATCATGTTGAATTGATCTCGAGAGAAGCTGTTGTTTCCCATATGAATACTAAACAATGATTCATTTGATGCAGTACTCCATTCCATACCACTGCTATTAGGCTTACTTGAAAATATAGACGAGGGAATCCGGTTAGGATCATAACCTGGAGGATGACCCATGGTATGCATTGGAGGTGACTTCATCGGTGCAGGGTTGGCTACATTCCATTCAGGATTCTGTGGGAAGAAATCAGGAAATTGTGGAGGTTCTTCACCACGCGGAGATGCACTTATCATACTCCATTGTGGTGTCTGATTAGGAACATGATCAGGAGAAGATGAAGATGCTGATAAAGAAGCATCCGCGTCTCCAAGAGGATCCTTTCCACTGTTACTTAGTTCTAGTGATGATTCGGATGAAGTAGGTGATGAAAGAGGTGATGAGGAAGGAGATAAACCGGATGTTTTCACTTTCATAAGTGGCTTGGTATCGTCATGTTTCGTCTCAGGTTGTTGCATTGAAGGCTTATTATTACCACTACTCCAGTTCTCCATTTTTCAATCAACAGAAATATTCCGCGCTTAATGTAGTTCGAGTAAATAGTTCTCCTGCAGAACAAGAACAATTCAACAAAATGCATAATAAACCACAATCGCTTCATATTAAAACAGAAACTTTGAATAATTATGAAAGAGTCATTTTCACATTATTCTGCAAAGTTATAAACGCATAAAAAATGACAAAAAGCTTACACATTTTATATCTCTAAAATTCTTGGAGGAGATAGCAAACACAATTATATCCAGACTCGGAATCTGCTAAACAAAATAAAGCATCGATTCATGAGCAATTTAATCGTCCTTGTTAAACAATCCTCTCAACAACATCAATCTTAAGCTAGTTGGGGTCGATTATATGATTCGTTATACATTCTGCTCTATTTGAACCTGTTTCATTACAATAACCCAAAAAAAAACATTCAGTTCATTTTACAGATTCCGGTTTAATCAGAATTTCACGTTTTAATTCGAAAGAACAAAACAGAAGATCATGCTGATTATGAATTAAACACAGCAACACCAATTGAATTTACCTAAATTCCACCAATCATAAAAGCCAAATCTTGATTACTAGCTGTATCTTGTTTTGCTAATGATAATCCAAAGATATAAAAATATAATAATAAGATACAGCTACTTACCCCTCAAAATTATGGGGGTAAGAGAGAGAGAATAATTCCACGAATTCAATTTTTTTAATTTACTTGAGAGGATGATTACTTACTTGAATGGGAAAATTCAAAATGAAAAAAGATTTAGGGCTCAGAAAAAAAGTATTAAAAAACAAAGGAAAAAAAATATAAAAAAAGAGCGGTTTAAGGGTTTTATTTTAGGTAAATCATTGCTTCAGAAAGGAAGGCTAAGCGTCGATCTCGGTGATGTCTAATCAGTTTTTCCGTTTAACCAACCATTGGCGCCATTTTTATCTAACTCCAAAGATATTCTCGGTAATTGGGCCGGGTATGAATACTTGGGCCAATTGGTCATGTATCACCCAAGTTTTCCTAGGCCCTCCCTATACACTAAATTGGTCATAAAATTGCACTTTTGTCTTTCAAATGAGTTGATTTTAAATTTAAATCCTTCAAAAGTTGGTCTTCGATTTTTGTCCTTGAAAATTGTATTGGAGTATATATTTTAGAAGTTGAAGTCGCACGCTCATTGCCCGAGCATAAACTTAAGAGATTTTATGATACGAAAATATAAACTTAGGCTCTACAAAAGAAGTTGCGACAATCTTTAAGATGTGACATATTATGTGCAATACGCACTTGTGATTATGACATTAAATTAGCCATATAATCTTTAAGATGTGTTAGGAATTTGTCCCGAGTTTCTTATCATAAATCAAAAAATCTTTTTATTTGGCTAATCCTTTTCTTATAGGAAAAGATTTAGGACGGTATAAATAGAAGTTTGTTCACATAGTAGCATTCACAATATAGTCTTAGGAATTTTGAGAGTTTTGTTTAGGGGGGTATTTGAGGGACACAAGTGATAGTGAACCTTGTATTCTAAGTGAATAAGTTGATGTTATTTCTCTTTATATTTTGTACTCTCATATTTATACAGTGGATTGCTTATCTCCTTTGTCTCATATTTATACAGTGGATTGTTTATCTCCTTTGTAGACCATTCACTGAATCACGTTAAATCTTTGTGTCTTTTGGTATATTTCTCGTTTGTCTTCTTCATCGTGATTTTTTGAGGTTTGATTTGCTAGCTTCCCATATCGCACCTAATTATTTCAGTCCTAACAAAGAGGTTGTTTGCTATAGACGAATTTTCCAATAAATGTTGTGACCATTCACTGAATCACGTTAAATCTTTGTGTCTTTTGGTATATTTCTCGTTTGTCTTCTTCATCGTGGTTTTTTGAGATTTGATTTGCTAGCTTCCGTATCGCACCTAATTATTTCAGTCCTAACAAAGAGGTTGTTTGCTATGATAGACGAATTTTCCAATAAATGTTGTGATTGCAGGATGATTTATAAAGGTGAAATCAACATCAAAACAAGCCCTACAAGACTTGGTAGATCAAGTCTGGTGAAAGATATAAAGTATAGAAATAACAATACTGTTACCCCTTTTACATTTGGAAGTTGAGATATGAAAGTAAAAATAAGCATAAACCCCCACTAGAAGTAGTTTATTGAAGTCACAATAAATAACATGATCAACAATTCAAAGTTTGACAAAGACCAGACTCCTGAACCATATGTTGATGAAGAGGTCGATTTTTGGAGGGCGGCAACAGTGTGCTGGCCTTTCTACTTCTACCAATTAAAAGCCTCTTTGAAACAGGAGACATCATTTGATCAGTTGGACTTGTGTACCTGTACAAAACCAATTACTTTCTGTAACGTAACAATTCTTATGCACAAGTTTTACGATTTCAATTGTCCAAATATAGTTCAGTTCAAACAGAGGAGAAAAAAAGTAATTACTATACCTTTCAGGATATTTAAATGGCTTGGGGACCTTAAGTCGATCAGGTGTGGTGTTGATTGGAGAATTGGGAAGAACAATTGTAGGTCGATTTAATGGCGGTGTTTTTGGTTCTGCTGCAACAACAATCTTTTCATTCATCGGAGCTTTTGGTGCAACTGTTTCCTCAAGGGATTTTGGTACAATAACCGATTCCGAAATTCCCTCCATTGATGAAACTATTTGTAATAGCAGAGAAATTTCAGGGAGAGATAGACAGAACAATTGAATTAAGAAGAAAGTGGGAGTGAATTTTTAATTTATAATATTCAGAAAGACGACCGTTCAGCAATAGGGGTTTCAACGGTCGAATTTTTGGGGCTGGGTCAAGTCGAGACAAACGCAATTTTGCTTTTTTTTTTTTTTTTAGAGTGGTTGATTAAAATAAAAAGAAGATAATTAGACTACTCTAGTCTTTTTATATCCAACGGGAAAATAGTTCTTTTCTCTTATTTTTTTCTAAAAACTTTTTTTTGTTTGGATATTTTTTATGTAGGACTCCTACTTCTAATTTCTACTTCACGTGTGATTTAGATCAATGAAGTAAGTGCAATAAAAAATAGGGCAAATCACATAAATCTCACTAGTTTAGTTCTTAATTATTAAGATTCCCAATAGTTTCAAATATTGCTTCTTCTACCGTATTTCATGCTTTGGATACATGAGTCTGAATTCATGAGATACATGTATCTGTCGAATTTTAAAATTGAGATACAAAATTTATTTATTTAAATTAATTGGTTGTAACTGATTTCCTTAATTAGAGGAGTAATTGAGGATTTTCAAAATACATAGATAATTAATTTCATTGTATTATTCTTTAAAATAGTAAATTCATTAATATTATTAATATAAGATAAAAACATGTATATCTTGGTAATGTAAAATTTGATTAATTTCAAATTATTACTCTTAAAATAATAAATTCATTAATGTGATGTATCTATTATCAATAAATAATGTATCTAATAAACTAAACACTTAGATGCATGAGCGTCATACAAGTACATTCATATGTATCATAGAAGTATCTAACATTAATTTCATGTATTTAATTTGTTATACGTATCTAGTGTTAATTTTAGGTATCTATTTATATATATATCTAATATTAATTTCATGTATCTAGTATTAATTTGATGTATCAAGTATCAATTGCATATGTTATATCCAAAAACATGTATCTCGAATACATAGTAAGCATATACATCTAATTATGTGTATCTAAATATGGAATATACAAAAAGAAGAAGCGTATACATCTAATTATGTGTATCTGAATTTCATACGTTATATCCAAAAAACATGTATCTCAAATACATAATAAGCATATACATTTAATTATGTGTATCTAACTATGAAATGTAGCTAAAACACATAAATTTAAGAGCAAATCACGACTGTAGAGTATGTCGTATCATTAATATCATGGTGTTGTTAAAAATCATGTATACGAAATTAAATGGTGAATACATATACATGTTTAGATACCCCATTACTAAAAATACAAACTCAGATCTTAATTAAAATTACTACTTATTGGATACACATGTTTAAAGGGCTATATTGAAGTAATATTGGTACTACCACATCAATGTCACAATAACCAAAGAAAGTCTTAAAGAACACCAACAAACAAAAACTCTCTACAATACTCTCTTTGATCCTTTTGCTTTGTGGCATAACATAATCAAAACTAAGATTCATTTCTTTCGAAGACAAACAATCAAGACCCACTTTGAATTGAAAGTTTTATCTGTAGCAGTTACTTTGATTTGATCTCATTATAAATGAACAATACAAAATAATATTTGGGTTTAGAAGATTTTGTTGGTCATGGTGATGATATCTTGAGAAGAAGAGAATAGATTAACTATTGTTGGAATGAAATTGTATGGTGAAATTTGAGTGATAAATATGGGAGGGAGGATTAAGAGATAGTGGCTGATTTGGAGTGAAAGAGTTAATTAAGCAGATAATTAATCCATCCTAGTTTTAAGGGATGTGGGTATCTAATTGTATCTTCAAATAATATATTAATAAATGATATAAAATATTAAAAGTGGTAATATATGTAATTGTTTAAAAGTAAAGATAATATTAGTATATATAGTAGTGATGTATGTCTAATAAGGTAGTTTATCCTAAAAAATATTAGAGTTCGAATCTTATAAAGATAAAAATAAAATATGAGTATGTAATTTTTCAAATTCGTCTAAGCTTAAATGTTTAAAATTACTTGATAATTGTGTTGGTAGGAAGTGAAGGTGCACAAGTCGCTCTAACACTAGTGCAATTTAAAATCACATTGTAATCGAACCGCTAAGTCGATTTGTTGATTTGTTGATTTATTGATTATTAGATTATCAAATTAATGATTGGTATGTCACTGATCAATAGCCATCTAATTACCTGTCCATTCATATTGAATCGACAGATCTCATTAGTGAATTAGTATATTTAAAGATAAAAAATTGATTCATTAAATCTTTAAGCGCAAATATTCA